ATCCACTGTAGCTCTCACTGTACAGCAGAGGTGGGCAATTCCAGTTCCTGAGGTCCGGTATCCTGCAACCTTTAGATATGCCTTTGGTTCTACACATCTGAATCAAGTAATTAGATGATTGAGAGGACTCTGGAGGAACTGACAGCATACTAAGGAGATAATTCAGCCATTTGATCCAGGTGTGTTGGACCAAGGATGGATGTAAAAGTTGCAGGATACTGGCCCCCAGGAACTGGAATTGCCCACCCCTGCTGTACAGGGTCCTTGTCTTCCTGGGAGGTGAACATCCACCCCAATCTCAAGCCTCTTCTGTGGTGCAGCTTTTTGCAGCAGCAGTTTATCTGCAGCAGAGAGGAAGCGGTTAGATAAGCTCATTAGGAATGTCAGTTCTGTCCTAGTTTACCCTCTTGACCCAGTGCAGGTGGTGGGAGACGGACGAATTCTCCTAAAAATAACATCACTCATGGACGAAATCTCCCACCCCATGTATGAAGCTGTTACAGAGCTCCATCAGTTACCAACTGCTGCATCTGGGTTGCGAAAACGACAGCATGTTTTACTATAGAAATGATGTGTTCAGGGTTATGCAGACTATTGCTTTGCAAAAATCTAATTCTGGTCGCACCTGATAAAATCAGCTCTTCCTCAGACTTACTGCCTTTTCTTCATGGCTAAATGCAAACTAAGAGCAGGACATCTTATGGATTTATTTTCCTTACTGGGTGGATTTATTAAGAGCATGGCCGTCCTGCAGCTCCTCCAGAGTTACCAAGGGCCTTTTAGGTTAGATGGGCCTCTATGTCTTGGTAGCTGTGCAGTTGGTCCAATTTTTCTCACTTTTCACGATGGTCAAAACAGAGCAATTGGGGGCGTGCTTTGGTGGTAAAGGTTAGCGCACACAACACATGTATGGAGGCCTTATTCCTCAACGCGGGCGACCCGGGTTTGAATCCTGCATGTCTCCCCTCTCTCATACCCCCTTTCCCGTAAGTCTAATGTCCAAAATAAGCCACTAGTGCTGTAAAAACTCCCAAAAAAACCAATAGGAAGTATTTAAATCAGGAGAGATATTGCTTTAAACTTCTCTCTGACCTTTCTGTTTTGGTCCATGGGCTTCATTATGCTGCTTTTTCTCTAATGTTCTCTAACAAACTTCTGATGCCAGAAACAAGCAATAAAACAGCCATATTTTATAAACCAGTGATAGGAGGAACATCAGTTACAGAGCTACAGCAGCTGGTTGTCTGATCCCCAAAACAACAAGTATCTGTTAAAAAAGATGATGCAAGAAGGAGGTAAACCTCTGAACAAAGACTCTTTGGGAGATTGAAAATAAAAATAAATAGGTCAGAAATCTGGAACAAAAACTTCAATGTGGGAAAACTGAACAGAAAAGAAAAAGTAAATAAGACTCTGAGTCATCTAAAAGGTTTCCGATGTCCGTTGCTGGATCAGCTTTTTATTTTCAGAACCCAGCCCCCCCCCTCCATCTTTCCCTCCTCTTAATCGCGCCGTCCCACATGGAGGCTTTCAACATCTGCTTTACTCTTTCATATCTACTCTCTCTGATAGAATGGTCCAGGCTCACTCAACCGGAGAAGCCCCATTTAGCCTCCCCGGCAGCGGCTGGAGTCCTTCTCAGGCTGGGAGGGAAGGTGTGCACAGATAAGAGGTCTTTATCTGGGCCCAGAGGGAGGCAAGTTAAGTTTAAGGTGAAGGTTTGACATGGAGGCCCGTCTCCTCGCTTCAGCTGCGCTCCCCTCCTTCCCTCCTCCTTTCTCTACATCCTGATGTGAGGCTCAGGCTCAGTCCCTGATCACCATATCCCTGGGCTCCTTCATGACGGCCCCCACTGCTCAGGCTTTAATGAGATAGATGAAAGGGGGGGCCTCCTCCTCCTCCTCCTGTGCTGGTGCCAGCCAATTCACTTTACTCCTCTTCCTTGCCTACTCCCGCTCACCCTGGCCCTGCAGCACTACCTCATCCAAGCTTTCCAGCTCGGGTGGAGGAAGCTCTGCTGTAATAAATTGGAACTGAAGCTGGTTCCTATTTTAAATTTTTCAGGTATTATTCCCTCAGATCTTTTGTGCTCGGATCTCTTTATGTCTCACGCTCTGCTACCTTTTAATAATAAACCCCATGAAATACATTCTAACCTAAATCTTTTCTTTTTGTTAACACCATCCAATGTGCAAGTCAGAGCCCATTACTGGAGCTTGTTTCCCTTGTTTTCATGTCGATTCAACAGATATCTCTGTTTTTTTCAGTAGATAAAAGCCGACTGATAATAAAAAAATATGTTTATTTCGTTCTACTCTTAACAAAGGAAAGAAATCATGTCTTATGTGATCTGGAAAGTCTGTTGATCAAAATAAGCGAAGAAATGGGCCATGGCCAGTTGCTCCTACCTTTTATTCTTACATGCTTTTTGTCTGATCTGCTATAAAGATTATTTTTTGGCACAGACTCAGTTTTTAGCCAACCTTCACAAAATGTTATTCTAAAACTTAATCCTATCAGTCTTAATATATTCTGAATATTCGTGCATCTATTGATTTACATCCATTCAGCCTTACAAGGTCAATGTGAGTCAATCTGCCTCAGTCTCCATATACAGACACACCCACTGTGGAGATTAGCTTTTGTGTAACAGTGGTGTTTTTTGATTCTGGGTGGAAGCTAGAGTGACCTGAAGAGAATCTACAGAGAAAATGCAAACAGCTAGCAGAGAGACCCCGATGCAGGGATTTCAACCGACGACCATTTTGCTGCAAGGCAACTTTCAAAAGGAGGTGAGGTGGCTTTGGGATGTGTTTTGGATGCCTCCTGGTCGCCTTCCTCGGGAGGACACGCTGTAGGGTCTCCGAGCTGGCCTGGTGTCGCCTCGGGGAGCAGCTGGAGGAGGTGTGAGTGGATCAGGAAGTCTGAGCATCTTAGACTGCTGTCTCCACAACCCGGCCCCAGATAAGTGGAAGGATGGATGGATGGAAGCTTTCCAAAAATCCATCTCCATACAGGCCAAGGTTTTATAAAACACTTCCTCACTGGAGCTTCTAGATGTTCTAAAGTTTAAACCATCTGGTTTGAACTATCTCACCTAGAATTTCCAGGAAGAATCTTAGGAACCAAGGAGCCTACTCCATTTATGAAAAGGAAACATCTGGAGCGGCGTCACTCGTTACGTCACCACCTGAGAGGCGCTCAACCACTACAAAAGCTGCTGCACAGCTGTACAGAATTTAAAACTGCACATGCAGAAGAGCCAAGTTTTAGGGTAGGATGATGTAAAAACCAAGCTGTTCCCCACAATAAACAATATGTTTGAGGATGTCGAAGCCTAAGAACACTGACCAGTTATCAAGCATGGTTGCGGTAGTATCATGATGGGGGGAATGTTCACAGCTGCATGGCAAAAGTGTATGAAATAAGGAGAGAGGAAGGACTGCTTCCAAAATGATAATTTCAGAAAAAAAAAGAAAAAAGAGACGTAACCTCGATGTTAAAATTGGAGTGTGATTCAGAAAACACAAACTAGTTTCACCAAAAATAGAAAGCAAGGTAGAATTCCACTTCAGGTAAGCCCTGATTTCAACGATTATAATTATAACTGTAACTAAAAGCTCTCTGCTGTAAAGAAAACAACCTAAATAAAAGTGTAGTAAATCTGCCAGGAGGAGCATTCAAGTATCCAGACATAGAGATACAAAGCATGGCAGTGATCTCAAAAACAGACCTTATAGAGAGAACTTATAGAAAGAGAATAAGAGAAAAGTCTTTAATGAAGAGACCTTTGTGGTTTCACACAAATAAAAAGTCAACAGCAGCTTTTATTGGTCCCTGCTGCCATCTAGTGGCAATCTTTTGTACTGCAAAAGTTGTTGGACCTTTTGAGCTCACGTTTAGGATCCTTTTAGCTTTATTGGATATATTCAGGGGCGGATTTAGGAAATTTTTGGGGTCTAGGCAAAGACAAAAACTGAGAAGACATCAAATAAGAGACCCATTCTACAGATAGAGAAATGTTAGTAGAATAGACATCCATTATCTGTTCTAGGTTGTGTCCCTCTCTTCTTGTCCCTTTTCTTCTTGTTTTCCTCTCTATGTTTTGTACTCAGCTGACTTTTCATGCTGTCTCTAAAGGAATGAAAGATTTTTTCCAAGCACTAAGCTCACTTAGCTGATTGCTCCTTCCTGTGTTTCCAAAAAGGCCAGAGTAAATAACCCAGTCCTTCTTTTCACTGTAGACAAGCCATGATCTGCTTCTCTGTTCTCCATTTTTCATTTGGATGAAATAATAGCTGCATGAATCATGACAGCAGACAAGATAGAGGAGAGCAGGAGGCGGGGTTACCAATCTACTCGCTCTGGAGAGCAGAGTTCACTGCTTTTAGATGTCGCCAAAGTAACAGAAAAAAAGTCACTAGATTTGACGCTTTTTGTTATTAAAATGCTAGAGGGGTCTGAAATTCTCTAAATATAGCGACTAAAGCGCTAAGTTGGCAACACTGCTCTTTGCATCGTTTGTTTTCAAATGGTTTGCTGCTGTCTGTTTGGACCTTTCTGAACATGTGCAGCAAATGGACTGATCCAATATGGTGGACACTGAAGGTGGGGGGGCTGAGACACACTTAATATTTTAGCAAAAGGATAATGTGCAAAAATAAGGAATAGTTGTATTAACTAAACATGTAAACAGTTTTTTTGGAGCCCCCAGGAACTTGGGGCCCTAGGCAACTGCCTAGTATTGCCTAATAGTAAATCTGTCCCTTGATATATTGAATACATATACCAGGGATTTAGGAAAAAAAATGTATACCATGAAAAAAAAAACCTCCAATATCACATTGCTAATACTTTACTTTTTATTTTAATTTAGTTGTGGGATATGATGCCTGTTGGTAAATTAGATTTCGTACTAAAACCAACTTTCATAGGAGTGTTTTATTCAGCAGAGCTTTTTCATATAAAGCAAATACTCACAGCAGCGCCTGAGCAAATAATCAAGTTTTAAATAAATAGGATTTAATTCAGACAGCATTTATCAGCGAAATAGTTCTCCAAACTCTCAGAATCTTTGAAATTAATTGAAAATTCTTTAGAAAGACAAGAAAACTGCAAAGTAGGGATTGATTTTTTTTTTTTTACTTAATATCATAATAAAATTGATTTGATTCAGTTTAGAAAAACTTTATGTACAGCAGCCTGAAATCACATTCAAGTAGCAGAGCGACTAAATGGTCCATAATGGATTCCGTCCAGTCTTGGTGATCTGCTCTGGTTAGAGGAGGCTCACATAGGCTTGGACTTGTCTTCATTGTTCATATATTTCTGATAAACCACCCTCAGCGTGGTGAACAGGTTTCCCATGAACAGCACCATGTAGGAGCAGCCGCACATCAAGACCTGGATGGCAGAACAAAGAAAAACACATGCAGGAAATGATGAATGAGACTGACTGACCATGAGAGCATTAGACCAGGGTTTAATGAAAAGTTTGAAAATCTTGTTATATAAAAAAAAAGAAACTTTATGTAAAGGTTCTTGGTGTTGTGATTCAGACCTCTTCATAGCAGTGGGTACGCCTAAACTAAAAAGGGAAAGCAAAAGGCTTGTTGGAAATTACCTCATTAGTGGAGTGTGCATTTGTTCTGAGCCTATAGTTTAAAGATGCAGGCGTTTCGGGTATTTCTCTAACTGCTCTATCCGACAACAGAGTTTGGTTTGAGGTCTGAACTTTTACTCTGTCATTCTAACACGCAAATATTCTTTCATCTAAACCAGGGGTCAGCATCCTTCTTTAGGCCGAGGGCTGCTTCATGGGTACGGGGTCATCGGAAAGGCTACCAATACTAACCTATGAACTGGAGGGATCAGTGCTCACCTTAACTTCATAGATAGGAAGGAAGGAAGGAAGGAAGGAAGGAAGGAAGGAAGGAAGGAAGGAAGGAAGGAAGGAAGGAAGGAAGGAAGGAAGGAAGGAAGGAAGGAAGGAAGGAAGGAAGGATTCCATGGTAGCTTTGGCTGCATGGTTCGATCAGTTTTCATGTTATATCCCACAACATGATGCTGCCACCACCATGTATCCTTTATTTATTTATTTTTTTACTAATTTAAGCAGAGCACCAACTTCAAGCGGTTTGACCCCCATGTAGCAAACTACAAACAGCCCCTCCAATGGCTTCTAAGAATGTAGTGTTAAATGAGGAAGCTATGTCCCCTTGAAGGCAGTTGGGACTTCCCCTCCGGTTCTTTTCCTGGGAGTTATTTACTAACCTCCGCATATCCATCAGGAAACCTTCCATTGAAGTAATTTTGGGAAGGGGCGAAAATACTGGTTAGTTGATTGGCCTATGTTGGTGATAGACGGGCCAAATAAACCAATCAGATCAACCAAGCATATGACGTACTAACAGAGCGACGACGAAGAGGAGCCAATTGATAGATCAAACTCTTGCCGAAACCAGTCGGGAGAAGAGCAAAAACATCTTTTCCTCTGAGAAAAGCCTCCAGAGCAGTGTTTTGCTCTTCTTTCAGTGAAGAAATACTCTGTAATTCCGATAAAACTTGCTCGATAGCCACGCTAACGCTAGTTTCATCGGCTGAAGCCGCCATGTTCTTTAGACTGAACTGTCGCGCTTCTCGTTGCGTCACACCTTAACCCGCCTCAAAGCCAACGCTGATTGGACGTTCGTTTGGTGAACGGCTCCAAATTTTCTTCAACGGAGAGTCTCCAGACTGATCTGCGAGTGAAAGCTTGAAAGCTCGCGACATCAGGATGGTCTCACAAGGCTATTTACTACTCTTAACTCAAACTGGGTAAAACCATGTAAAGGAAGGCCTTCTACTCTCTCTAATCTGGCTAACAAAAGTAACAATACACACAATGTATAAAAGAATAAACCTAACAGTAGCAATATCCTATAGGGATGCACAATATAATCGGCCCCCTATCGGTATCGGCCTTAAAACTGAATATCGGACATCGGCCACCCCCTCGATATTTAACCCGATATTTGATCAGCTTCTGAGTTTCTAAAGTCTAAAAAAAAAAAAAAAAAATACTACTTCTTCTTCTTCCTCAAAAACTTCTTTTTTACAGACTTAAAAACTTCTAAAAACGAGGGAAAAAATATTGATACATTAAAATATCCCAATATCTTCATATGCTGATATATTGCCATTTAAAAACACCATATCAATCTCTTTTACTGATGAAATATTGCTATATGTCATCGTTATGCTACGAAATCCCCCGAAAATTCACGAAATTTTGCCATATTTTTATATGTTGATATATTGACGCGGTATCGATCTATTTTACTAACAAAATCTCACAAGAATTTGCAAAATATCACGAGAGTTTGTAACAGAACGATGAAATTTCACAAGATTTTGAAAGTAAAATAGATCGATACCGCGTTTTTAAAAATCAATTTGATATCAGCATATGAAAATATCTTTGAGTATATTATTTTTCAAAGTGTCAGAAATGGATAACAAAACTGCTATTTTCAATGACTACTTATTTTTGTCATGCTTTAACATCAGTATCAATATCGGTTATCGGCTACATGAGTTTTAAAATATCGGCATATCGGATATCGGCCAAAATCCCAATATCGTGCATCCCTAATATCCTAGGTATGTGAATTCTTTTGCAAAGCTGAATTATCCAACCGTCTTGTTGGAATTTATCCATAATGCTGAGATGAAAACCAAAGTTTTTAGAGAAAACTAACCTGCCACTCTTTACACTCCGGCAGCTGGAACATCCTGAACAGCGTCATGCTGTTGTACAGCTGCCAAAACTGTATCCAAGTAAAGAAAAATTAAAATAAAAAAATACAAGCAAAAGAAAACACATCAATTTGATTTACTCAGTCGGCTCCATTGATGAGCATCTTTTTCTTTGTATTTAGAGAGACAAGATGAATCAATGATCTACAGACGCTGCTTTAAAAAAAAAACAAAAAAAAACGGGTAACATACATGACCGAAGAACAAGAAGGGAAGGAGGAAGGTAAGGCCTCTCCACATCCAGGACTGGAAGCCCTCTGAACAGAGAGAAGATATTCACTGAGCTGACATTAAAGAAGCTTCCTGCTCTGATGAAATGTGGGTTCAAACATTTCGCAACCAAAATTTGCCAAGATAGGAAGACGGTTCCAACAAAAGAGAAAACAACATGCTTTAAACTTGTGCTGCCCAATTTTCAGCACTGTTTCAGTCAGTATTCCCCGTTTGCCCTGATCTTAGAGCTCCTCTGTGTTGAATAAATGGATGCACTATATAAAAATTCAGGCAGATATGTATTAATAAATAGAAATACTGTGCTTACAACTGATAACCATTTACTGATATTGCATAAACATTTTCTTACCCTTCTGACACAAAAAACTGGCCACAAACACACACACATTTGGCCATATTGGCCCAATTTTACTTAAAAATAAATAGACCGAATCTAGGAGGAAATTTTGTAACCTGACTCCGCCAGATGGATTTGCTCCGCATATCCATCTGGAAACCTTCCGTTTAAGTAATTTTGGGAAGGGGCGAAAATACTGGTTAGCTGATTGGCCTATGTTGGTGATAGACGGGCCAAATAAACCAATCAGATCAACGAAGCATATGACGTACTAACAGAGCGACGACGAAGAGGAGCCAATTGATAGATCAAACTCTTGCTGAAACCAGTCGGGAGAAGAGCAAAAACATCTTTTCCTCTGAGAAAAGCCTCCAGAGCAGTGTTTTGCTTTTCTTTCAGTGAAGAAATACAGTATAATTCTGATAAAAGTTGCTCGATAGCCACGCTAACACTAGTTTCATCGGCTGAGGCCGCCATGTTCTTTAGACTGAACTGTCGCGCTTCTCGTTGCGTCACACCTCAACCCGCCTCAAAGCCAACGCTGATTGGACGTTCGTTTGGTGAATGGCTCCAAATTTTCTTTAACGGAGAGTCTCCAGACTGATTAGCGAGTGAAATCTTGAAAGCTCGCGAGATCAGGATGGTCTCACGAGGCTACAATATTGAAGCGTGGTCTGCGCTATGTTATTCCACGCAAGAGGAACTAACTGTGGGTCTAGATACGGCCGAGGCGAAGCATATGACATACTAACAGAGCGACGACGAAAACACAACCACAAGCCAGGCTACTCTTGCTACTGCAGGTAAAGGCTCGTTAGCTCAGAAAAGCCTCCAGAGCAGTGTTTTGCTCTTCTTTCAGTGAAGAAATACTCTGTAATTCCGATAAAACTTGCCCGATAGCCACGCTAACGCTAGTTTCGTCGGCTGAAGCCGCCATGTTCTTTAGACTGAACTGTCGCGCTTCTCGTTGCGTCACACCTCAACCCGCCTCAAAGCCAACGCTGATTGGACGTTCGTTTGGTGAACGGCTCCAAATTTTCTTTAACGGAAAGTAGCCAGACTGATCTGCGAGTGAAACCTTGGAAGCTCGCGAGATCAGGATGGTCTCACGAAGCTAGAAATTTTGATGCTGCCTTCCAGAATATTAATCTGCAACAGATACAAAGAAATGCAGTTCAACATCCTACAAAATGTTTACATATCACCTAATATATACCGCAAGTATACTCCAGGTGCTTCTCCAAATTGTCCTAAATGTAACTTAACTAAAGAGACTAGATATCACTGTATTAGGGAGAACATTCTGGCAGGCAGTATGCAGTGAAATCAGTTCGGTGATAGGATGGACAACCCCACTTAAGGCCAATTTATGCTTCTGATGCATAGCCTCTCCAATCGTCAAATGTGTCTCTCAAAAAAATCCCGACTACGCATCAGACGGTTGCAAACCCGCCAGACCTCAAGTGGAAGTGCGCAGATAAAAAGCAGCTGTGATTGGTCCTTGGTATGCCCTTCCGGCTGCCGGGGTGCGCCATTTTTAAAAACCAAGAAACAACTGCAATGGAGGACTATGACGAAAGGTTGGTCGGTTTTTTGCCAACTCCTTTAACAGAACCTGTTCGTCTTCAATGTCTAGCAACTCTAGATCCATCTCTGTGACCGTAATATCTTGCAGAAGCGCCATTGTTGTTTTGGAAGAGAAACACTCCAGCCGGCGCTGCAGAAGTTCTCGTGAGTTCTCGAATAGGCCCCGCCTTGCGCTTTGGCCGGAAACTGCTGTGCGTCCCTAGAGATTCCAGACCGCCCATAGATCACATGCCCATAACATCAGTCAATACTGACTTTAAGCTATTGTGTTTCCTTCCAATTTAAAACCACATTACTAAACAAAACTCCTTTTCCGAGAGTCAGCTGGTATTTATTTATTTATTTATTGTATTTATTTATTTATTGTTGTCGGCTGGTATTTTCTCACCGACTGTTAGGTCCATAGTATGTCTTTCTCCCAGCGCTCTGAGTCTGTAAAGGCAGCCGCTCTGGTAGTAATACTGCAGGAACTGGACAAAACCTACAAACAAAAACAAAAAAAGATTAACAAGACATTAAAACAAAGGGAAAAAAACAGGCTTTTTACAAGAACTTTATCTCTTTTCAGTTTTCCGACTACATTGGTAAAACAATCTAGAAATAAGTAAAAATTTCTTAAATTAAGTGTTTTTACCCTTGATTTGAGTAGGTAAATGAGGTAGTTTGCCAATGGAATGAGTATTTTTACTCTTAAAATAAGATAATTATATATTATGCACTTGAAATAAGACAAACCAATTTTGTTTTCTTATTATAAGTCTAAATTATCTCGTTCCATTGGCAAAATGTCTCTTTTACCCCTTCAATCCAAGAACAAATTCACTTATTTAAAGAATTTTTTTTTCCAGTGTTTGCTTAACAAGGCAAGTATTACATGAATTCAACAATGAAATGGGAGAAAAATAAAAGCAAGTCCAGAGAAAAACATGGAGACATGGAGCGACCAGGGATTTCAGGAATAAAGCCTGCAGGACGGCGAGGGAGAGCTGGGACCTTATGATAACCTGACTGTCGTGGAAACAGGGAATCACAATAAGAAATAGACAATTTCTCTGGAGGTTTGGACCTGATGTGGTAGGCTGTGGCTAAGGGACCCTTGTGCACTGCAAAAAATGGAAATCTAAATGAGTTCTTTTTTCTTAAAGTAAGTGCAAGGAGGAAAGAGAGATACTTTGCTAATGGAACAAGACAACTTACATTTAAAATAACAAAAAAAAAATAATTGCAATGTCTTATTTCAAGTGCATATTATCTTATTTTATTAGTTAAAAAACCATTCTATTGGCAAATCAAATATGCTTAAATTAAGGGTAAATACACTTAACAATAAATATATTGCTTATTGTTTATTCCTAATGCACCTTTTCCTCCTTGTTTGCACCCTCTTTGACTTATATGCCAATATGTGACAAGTGAATTTCTCCGCTGTGAGAGCAACAAAGCTCATCTAATCTAATCTAATCTTAATCTAAAATTTTTTACTTATTTCTAGATAACTTTTGCAGCTGCATAGATGTTCATCCTGATCGCTGCTGCTTGACTTATAAAATGTGTTATTAAGAGGCTTGAATAGGGATAATGTCGCAGAACTAGGCTCTAGTGATGGATGTTTTTTTTTTTAGATAGGGGCGTAGTTGATTGTTTAATACCTACACATAACTGTTTGTGTCTCTGCTCTGCTAGCATTAAGGCTGATTGCTGCCGCTGACCTGCTTTCAGAGTGAGTTTCCTGGTCAGTAGAGCCCAACTTAAAGGTGGTAAAATTAAAAACACTCAGAGAATCTTCAAGCTTTAGCTGGCTGTCCAATAGAGCGCTAGCTTGCCAGACACAAAAGTCTTTTATTATACATAATCTCCAGAGGTGTTCTGTGGGGAACTTGGATAGTCAGAACATCCTTCCTACGGCTCGAGTCACACCATGAATGGGCTCCAAAGCAGAGTCAATGTGATTTAGACTCTTCAGTGTCCTTTCAGCTTCATTCTCCACCAAACCATATGTTTTAAAAGTTTTATGGTTATGATGTATTGCCGGTATTTCCAATGTACAGAGTTGCCACCGTCTGAGGTACTGCAACAAGGCGGCGCCCTTCACAAAAAATGATAAAACAAAGCTTTTTTTCTTTAAGATTTTTCACATTTGAAATATAATTATTGATAATAGTAGGACAAATATTCGTGAATTAAATTAGTTTGGTTGAACGTTTCATTTCCACTTTAAGCACATTTACAGCCTTCTGGCAGTTTGTTCCAGATAAATGGAGCATAAGATAGTTATCGGGCTCCTCTCCTGTGGAACCAACTACCAGTTTTAGTCCGTGAGGCAGACACCCTGTCTACTTTTAAGGCTAGGCTTAAAATGTTCCTTTTTGATAAACCTTGAGTGGCTCAGGTTATCCTGAGCTATCTCTATAGTCATGCTGCTATAGGCTTAGACTGCTGGAGGACATAGGGACCCCTTTTTCATCATTCTGCTTCATTCTATCTCTATTCTCCCACTCTGCAGAATCTGTTAGTTCAATCTCTAACGTTCTGCTCTCTCTGCTTTTTCTCATAGTAGCTTCATCTGGTCTGTTCCTGTTTGGCTGTGACTCCATCCTGGAGAGAAATATCAGCTGTGCTGCTGCCATCAACACCTTTGTTTCTAGATGTTGGAGATCGGCCTGTTTTTTCAGTGTAGTCCTGTTTCTCTGACTGTGACTAAATGGATGTGCTCTCTTCATTCTCTAACATGGGAGCTGGCTCGGAGCTCGTCTGTCTGTCTACCGTTGCTTTTGTCTCTCTGCTTCTGTCTCCTTGAACCCCAGTTCAAGGAGACAGAAGGAGAGGTTTCTTCCTGTTAAAAGGGAGTTTTTCCTCTCCACTGTCGCTACAAACATGCTTAGTGTGAGGGATTGTATTTGAGTCAATGAGTCAATGCAATCAACTGGTTTTCCTTAGATCTGGTTGAATTGTAAAATGCCTTGAGATGACGTGTGTTGTGAAATAAACTGAATAAAACTGAATAAAAAAAAAAAGCTAAATATTCATCTACATTTGAGGTTGCAATGTGTAATTTATGATGTCTAAAGCTAGATGCATCTAAATAACCTGCTCAGCCCAATGAGCCTTTTTCTTAACCCTTAATGTAGTGTGGAACTGGCATGGAAAGGATTTCTTACTTTGATAGAGATTGTATGAAAGAAACTGGTTCCTAAACATCTGGTAGAGGGCGCCATCAGGCCTGCGAACAAAGATCACATCAGGTGAGACCAACACAGACAGTACAGGTCAGTGAGTTTAGTTCATTTCATTACAAACTGCTCTGGATGAGTAGGAGTAAGGAAAGAGGTTTTACCAAGTGAGCATGACTCCAGATAAGAAGGTTGACACATAGTGATGGAAAACCCACCAACCTTTGATCCTGAAACAGGAAACTGGCATCAAAGGATGTTGGGCTCTGAGATATAACCCTAATATATGAACAGAGCTGGTTTTTATTCCATGATTATTTCTGTTTTTATCACATGACAACAATAAATGTTGATATTAGGGATGCACGATATTGGGATTTTGGCCGATATCCGATATGCCGATATTTTAAAACTCATGTAGCCGATAACCGATATCGATACTGATGTTAAAGCTGGACAAAAATAAGTAGTCATTGAAAATAGCAGTTTTGTTATCCATTTCTGACACTTTGAAAAATAATATACTCACATATATTTTCATATGCTGATATCAAATAGATTTTTAAAAACGCGGTATCGATCTATTTTACTTTCAAAATCTCGTGAAATTTCATCGTTTTGTTACAAACTCTCTTGATATTTTGCAAATTCTTGTGAGATTTTGTTAGTAAAATAGATCGATACCGCGTCAATATATCAACATATAAAAATATGGCAACATTTCGTGAATTTTCGGGGGATTTCGTAGCATAACCATGACATATAGCAATATTTCATTAGTAAAAGAGATTGATATGGTGTTTTTAAATGGCAATATATCAGCATATGAAGATATTGTGATATTTTAATGTATCAATATTTTTTCCCTCGTTTTTAGAAGTTTTTAAGTCTGTAAAAAAGAAGTTTTTGAGGAAGAAGAAGAAGTAGTATTTTTTTTTTTTTTTTTAGACTTTAGAAACTCAGAAGCTGATCAAATATCGGGTTAAATATCGAGGGGGTGGCCGATGTCCGATATTCAGTTTTAAGGCCGATACTGATAGGGGGCCGATTATATCGTGCATCCCTAGTTGATATGTTATTTTAATCACACGTTTCATAAAGGTTGAGTTTTCGCCAAAGTGGTTACAGACCTGGAGCCATTGCTGATGAGGATACTCTCCCGGATGGTGAGTGTGCAGTAATACCACACCAGCAGGAAGTTGAACAGAGCGTCCAGGACTCTGGGATGAGAGCAAAAATTATGAAAGAGGTGATCCACTGTCACAATGATCAAACACACGGTGAAACCTCCTGATGCTTTAGCCAGTGAATTCCCACAGACTCAGGCCGTTTCTCAATAAGTGTACTTGTGCGTTCTCATGTACTCGTGAAACGTCATCAGCCTCAACCCAAGTACTGCTCCAACTCACAAGAATAAGAAGTCCGAGAACAGATAAAGTCCCCGGATGTTGTTCTCGCCCCTCCCTCTTTACCCAGCATGCATCAGAGCAGACTTGTATGTTCTCCTGATTGACAGCTGTCCCAGCATGCACTGCGGCAGCAGCAGCTTCCAGGGGAGCGCTCACAGAGCTCAGAGTATGAAAGGAAAAGTTCGATCAGCAAGGAATTATAAATTTAATGAATTTAGCATTAATCAGTAAAAAAATTAAAAATTTTCTTTTTTTAATCGCAATCACTGAGTCTGGGAGCGGCCATTTTTGTAACACCTCACTCCTGACATCTCCCGGCAGTGAGGTCACGGTGCGCTAAGCCTACACTGCAAAAACAATCTAGAAATAAGTCAGACATTTCTCAGATGATGTGTATTTACCGTTAATTTGAGTATGTAAATAAGATGATTTTCCAAATGGAATAAGATTTTTTACTCTTAAAATAAGATTGAAATAAAACAATACAATTGTTCTTTTTTAATTTAAATGTAATTTGTCTTGTTCTATTGGCAAAGTGTCTCACTTTCCTCCTCAATTTAAGATGAAATGCTCTTATTCTAAGAGAAAATGACTTATTTAGATTTACATTTTGTTGCAGTTTAGCGCCAAAATCAATGGGAACTACTAGACACATCTGCAATCAACAACAATTATTGAAGATTTCCAGAGGACTTCACCATTGAAATTCACCAGAGCTATAGTGAAACTGACAATGCCCACGTGCATGGCACATTCAAACTAAAATTACTCTTAAACACTTATCATTTATTGAACAGTATACCGTATAATAATTTCATAATTAAAGTACTTTCAGAAGTTTAAATTCTGAATATTAGACTTTTAAGTTAAAAGTTCTCTTTTTGTTGCCGCTGTTTTATAAAACTGCGTTTTAAGATAATTTAAGGTGAGAACATTTTACACTGGAAAAAATTCAATTCTAGATAAGCCATTTTTTCTTAAAATAAGTGCATTTGTTCTTGGATTGAGGAGGTAAAAGAGACATTTTGCCAATAGAACAAGACAATTTACACTTAAAATAAGAAAATACAGTTGCATCGTCTCATTCCGAGTACATATTATCTAATTATCTTCTGTTAAGAGTAAAAACTCTCATTCCATTGGCAAACTATCTCATTTACTTGCTCAAATTAAGGGTAAATACACTTTATTTAAGAAGTGTTTACTTATTTGTAGATCATTTTTCCAGTGCTGATTTAGTGCGTAATTTTAAAATAGTTCCGAAGTTGTGAGGACCGCGGCAATCAGCGGTGCTACCAGGCTAACAGCAGCCAGGGCTAACGTTAGCCGGCCTGCAGCAGCCCTCTCTCTGCATAGCCGTGTGTTAAGTACCGCTGGCTCTGATGGAGGTTTTTTTTTTGTTTTATTCTGCAAAATATTCATTTAATTTGTGTTTATCTGACTGTGTTAGTTATTATTCCCCCAATAAATGAAAAAAGTAAGAATTTATCATCATATAGAGTCTGTTAACAGGAGGTGAAATGCAGCTCCAGACAAGCAGAGCATGTGGTGATGTCATCAGTACGTTTCTGTTCCAATTGACCCATATCTATGCTCCCTTCAGAGAATTTAACAAGATAATTAATGCTATCCCTAAAAAGATAATTCAACTTGTAAAAAGTCACTTGAGTTACTGTAAATTTACGAAAACTCTACCCACTCTCATATTGGAAGGAATTAACCTAACAGACAGAAGATGTACGGTAACAATAGACACATACGCCAGTGCTTTCAAAGAAAAAACTTTATCACACCTAGAGGTAAATATTATTTGCGTACCCATATTGATAGCATAAAATGGAGAAGAGCCTGGCTCTTACCTCATAAATACTGTATTTCTAACAAAGCCAAAGAAATACATTTTAAAATCTTACATAATATATAACCTGTAAACTGTATTATTGCTAAATTTATGGACATAAGTGACTCATGTACGTTTTGTAAAAGAACTTCAGAAACGACTTTGCATTTATTTTTTAGTTGTGAGGAATCCAAAGAATTTTGGAGTGACATTGAATCTTTTCTTTTCCATTCAACTAAAATTGTATGCAAACTAACTCTCAAAGATGTTATCTGCTATTACAATAACTCTGAACATCGTGACTTTGAACATATGCTTAATTTTATTATTATATATGCAACATTTTTCATTCACAAACAAAAATGTGCAAACTTGATTCCTAACATTACTCCCTTTCTCTTAGAGTTGAACTCTCTGATTGCATCCCTTAAACTGATTAAAAATAAAAAGAACATGTCTCTTGATAACTATAGAAAATACTTCCCTGAAACCTCTTACTGATATTTAATAACTTTTTTTTGTTGTTTTTTATTTATTTATTTTTTTTATTATTTAACACTTGTCATTTATATTTTATTGACTTTATTGACTGTTACAAATTATTTTTTCTTTTAATGTTTTTTTTTTTTTCTTGTCCAGTTCAATTATTGTGTAACTGTTGTGCAAGTCGTTATATCTCCCCCTCTGATGTGCTGTCCTTTAATACAAAACCTGTTTGTTTTGTACATTTGTTCAATAAAGTAAAAAAAAAAAAGACCCATATTTATGCTGCGTGCTCCTGTTCTCCACACTTTCCTGTGTTCTTCTCAAGAACATACTTGGCGAGGACACGAGTCCGTACTCACGCTCTTGGATTCGATCAAACCTCTGATTAACTTCAACCAACGTCAACCAGGTGGGAAGAAATTATTACCTGTAGCTGAACAAAAAGCGACATGTGAAGGAAAACATGAAGAGGATGACGGTCAGGACCAGTTTAAACTTCTCATATTCATCTTTATATGCAAACCTGATGGAGGAGAAAGAGAGGATTGGATAAACGGCTCTGAAGCTTTAGCTCTGTCGCAGTCAAAAAAAAGAAAAGTGGACTTACTTGGCCTGCTTGTTCAGGAGGGTGACATTAATGTTGCCCAAAACAAGCGTGAGGTACAACCTAAACAGGAAGGAAGTAAGAACTGGTCAAAGAGGAGAGCAGCGCAGCGCTGAACTAAATAAAACAACTTCGTACCCATTTTTCCTTGGCAGAAATGCTTCCATCTCAAAGAAAACATTTGTTTTATCTTTGATGGACTCTTCCATTTCAGCAATCGACTCGATCTCTTTCGGGCTCAGCGTTGACGTCAGGGGGGTCTTTTTGCATCTGATTTAGAACATAGTTGACACATGAAAAACAAAAAACAAAGCAAACCGAACAGGAGGTGCAGTTTCCTGCCAACACCGACCCCTTTAGTGACAAAGTGAGCTCTCCCAGTCTCTTCCTCTGCCGTGCTATAGCACTGGAGCAGCTGTTTTGCAGTTTGCTCACTTCTTCAAGCTTCTGTTTATAAAGGCGATGAGTGTCCTGCAGGAAAAAAAGGGATTAGAGAGATGACACGTTGACACGTTTTTTGTGGACTTTTATGGACCTTTCTGCCTCGGGCGCCATAGACCTCCATTATTTGAATGTCAGCAGACAGCAAGAAGCCTCCCAGATCTCCAGATGCGTTTGAGATATCAAAAAAGTACTCCAGAGTGTTGTTCAGCATGGGGGTGAGTAGAAAATGAAGGCTAAACATGTTTTGGGTGTACTATTCCTTTAACAGATTCTCTGCGGCTGACCCATCCAGCACAGTAACACCATGGTCACTGACCCAACATTTGGTCACTTTGGCAGAGTGGCTTCATACCCAGTCTGGAAAATGAAATCACCCTATAAATAAAGCTTGTCAGCAGAAGGAAACAGAGGAGAACTCTAAAGTGTCCTGGTAGATGACTGGACTTAAGAGACCCAGTGGACCAGAACCAAGCGATGACTTCCATCTCCAAATCTTTACTGACTGCAGAAACTTGACTGGACTTTAAGCAATGTTGATTCTGGGTCTCTTCACTCCTCACCCATTTCCAAATCAAATGCAAACTTTACTTTTATTCGAACTTGGACTTTGTCCACTGAGCAACAGCATATCTTGCAAAATTCTGAATAAAACAGTATTTTTGTTATTGCTACAGATGGAACAGTGGTCATAGTCCCCTTTATACGAACACATGCTTTGATTGCTCAACAGTCCTCATCTTGTCCGACCACACTTTTTCCTTCCACAAATTTTTCAATGATGAGTCTTGAATGCATCACTATATAAAAGCCATCTTCTTTAACGAGAACTTTTTAGGGTTTATCCTTTCTGTAAAGAGTGCTAAAGAGTTCTGATTCTGTTGGAGATTTTTTCCTGTTAAAAGGGAGTTTTTACTCTCCACTGTTGCTACAACCATGCTTACTGTGAGGGATTGCTGAAGAATCAATGAGTCAAGAAGAGAGGGACAAAACCTAGAACAAATAATTTATGTCTATTCTATGAACATTTCTCTATCTGTATAATGGGTCTGTTTTATGTGTTGTCTTCTCAATTAAGGGGCCCCCTGCCTGTCTTTGCCTAGGGCCCCAAATTTCCTAAATCTGCCCCTGATGTCAATTACAACCAGCTAAAGAGCTGTAAAGTAAGCAGTCTTCTTTTATTGTTTCATTAATGTTTTTCTTAAATTTGACCCGTTGTTATTTCAGTTTCCATTAACTGCAAAGCAGTGTAATCCAAATTAGTTTAAATTAATAGTTAAATTAATTAACAAACAGTTAATAGCAAATCTGCTATTTATTTCTGTAGAAATTCTGAACCAAAAATTAACACAATAAGTTTAAATCACTGTAAATAAGAAGCTATGTCAAACCTCTCCGTTTAGTATTATTCTGAAATATTTTCTACCAGTTACTCAATTGTGGTGCATTCCGGGCAATGTTGGTAAAATACATTTATACTCAATTTTTTCGTATAAACAGCTATCTTTATTTTTGTATTTATTAACTATAGATTTTGTTTTTCTTTCATTTTATCTGGAGCTCGTGAGGGTGGATCCACCAGCCTCTCACCGTTAGCTTATCCAGGCGTTAAGTTCTAACAGTTTAACTAAACGCAGCAGCTAAACTAACCTGGATTTGCTCATAATCTTTCTCCAAGTCGTCCCATTCCCGAAGACACTCGGATAAATCATTTGGACTGAACAACATTTCTGCTCCGAGGCTGCAGAACCTCTAGGAATGGTGAAATAAACGAGCGTCAGCGCTGAGCAACAGTTCATCACAGCCTCATCTACATATGAACGTCACTTCCTTCAGACCCCTTCAGATTAAAAGTCTCAGTTTAAAGATAATCGTTATAAAACGCAAAGTTTAGAAAATTAGCTTTTTAGAATACGCATAACGGCTTCAACAATGGTTAAAATCTTCTGTATTAGCTTAATAACATATTTTTTCTGTTTTTTTAGGGGCCTAATGGGATTTTAATTTGTATGAGTATATCCGGTATGCCGTAACTTCTGTTCTTCTACTAATTTTAAGGAACTCTTCTTTTCTTATTCGTCCAATCAAATCGCCGTCTCGTGATGTTGCGTCTGTATAGTTCTCATCCTCCATAAGAACTATACGTCCGCGCGTCCACCATATTTTGAGAGGCAAGATCGCCTCGAAGTACTAAAGTGGGCATTTACAGCATTTACATTTACAGTACAGGCCTTTTAGGCAAGGCAAATGTATTTGTATAGCACAATTCAGTACAAAGACGATGCAAAGTGCTTTACATGATTAAAATATAGGAAAATAAAAGAGAATCAAAGCAAGTAGGAAAAAAAATAAATTAAATTAAAAATGTAGAAACAAAAAAGAACATTAAAGCGAGTGAACTGCAAGGGGTACATGAAAATATTTGATTTATTATATAGTAAAATAAAATAGGGCTGTGATCTGTTTTGCTTTGTCAGGACCCAGGTGCAGAATTAAACGAGCTTTTATCAACCAAAAATGAAGTTTTTCTTATATGTTTTATTTCCCCTTCAGCTGTGACACACACCAAACCGAGGCAGAGGAACATCCTGGAAGTAATGAACAGCCTAGTTTCAGCTGATCTTCTCACTGAGCTCATCAAAGCAAACCTGGTTAGTTGATAAAAACATAATAAAGTCAGTCTGACTGTAATTTTTGTTCTGTAATTATTGCCCAATTCATCAAGTTGAAATCTGATTATAAGTGAGCTCCAGTTTTATAAATACAGGGTTAAAATATGATTTTATTTTGTATTTATTTTTATTCCTACCAACTCCCAGGCAATATATTTATGTTTATTTTTTATTTGAGACTGAAAGTATTTAATGCCTAATAATCAAGTGCCCAAATTTAAAGATTAAGTAAAGCATTTTTTATTTTATAATTAGTAATTGTACGTTCCACTTTTAGACAATCATCAATACTTTAGACTCAGAGAGGGGCTCATGGTAAGACAAAATGATTTTTAAGAAATTAGGGAATATATATATATATATATATATATATATATATATATATATATATACATATATGGATCTCTAAAATCTTTTTTTTTTGAAAGAACAAACAATTCTGATCACAAAAAGAGAAATGATATGTAAAATCTTATGCATCGTAATATTAATTGAGTTGTATTTAGATTTGTCTTTGACTACTTAGAAAATGTTATTAAGGCGAAAATAGTTTGATTCAAAATCTTTATCATGTAAAAGGCTTTAAATTGCTACCATTTTGAAGCAATAAAATTGATAGTAATAATAATGATGATGTAAACTTGTTAGGTTTGTGTCTAAAATGTTCATAATAAATGACGGAATGAAGTTGAAAGTGTTTGTACAAGGTGATAAAAATGTAATAAATTATGATGTCATAGACTTCTTCATAAATTTGCAGAGTTACTTTTTAAAGCAAATGACCAAGAAATTTGCAAAGGTGAAAATACATTTGGCAGATCACAATCTGTTGCATCTTTTCATCAAAACCGGGCTTTTGATAGATCTGTGTGTTTTCTCCCCATGAGGTGTCGCTCCCAGTCACTCAGCTGCTGAAGAAATCCAGTGTTGGGCCTCATGGTGGATTTACATTTTATCATGTGTCTCCAGGCTTTCTGTAAAAAGCAGATAAAAAAAATCATCCTCCATAGATGTTGATTTCCAAAGATTAAACAATATAGCACTTAAAACAAGGAAATTGTTTGGGTTAAAACACCTTTGAGAAGATTTTTCTTTTTTTTAGACTAAGTCCTATTTCATTATATGACCCAATTCAGCTACGTTTATTTATATAGTGGCATAATTACAGATTTAGTCTTGATTTGCTTTTATAAAAAGTAAATAAATAAAATGTTTTATACAAAAAAAAAACTATAGTCTATGCAGACTAATGATGCAAACATGTTCAAAGTAAATACATTTTAATTTTTAACCTAGTGGTTAAACAATGCAGTGAAGCACATCCAGCAGATTGTATTGAGTTGTTGTCTTCAGGTAAATCTCAATCATTACTAGTTCTCTCTGCTGGAGAAACTCCTGGGTTGTAGAAAATCTTTTACTATTAATTTAATGGGGAAATGTTAAAAATCAAACGGAAGGGTAAAAATAGAGGCAAATATTGCAAATTAGATGCTGATACCCCATTTGATCTACAGCATGTGAGGCTATATGATTTAATCTCTCAAGAAATATAAAAATGCAATTGTATTTGCAAAGAGTAGTTTCTTTTTTTATTTTATTGATGTATGGAATAAATACTGACAGGTATGAACAGGATTCTATGTTCTGTGCTCAACAGCTGCCGTTTTGTCTCTACACCTCAAAGTGTTGTCCCAATTATGCATAGATGACCAAGAATAGATAAAAATGAAACACTCGCAGGATTTTCTAACTATGTGTTTAACAAGTGTGTTGGGACAGTTTGGAAAAAACGAAATAAATCAGTTGTACATTAATGGGCTGATAGATCCCAGGGCTACAAATAACACGATAATGTTAAACTATACAGAGAAGTGACGGTTGAAAAGGGAAAATGCCTTGACTCTGGATTGCAAGGCCCCAGTGGGGGCACAAGTGCTCTAAAATAAATAAATAAATAAATAAATAAATAAAACTAGCTATTTTACAGTTGTGCTCTAAATATTTCTTTCATTAATTCCTCTTTATTCCAGCCAATCAAACATTTATTTTAATAATAAATGAGTGTTGAGAATGCAAAAAATGCAACAGAAATTAATTTGAAACTAGTCACTATTGTTATTTTGATTAAGCAAAGTTAGTTGTGTCCTGCAACCATTTTTCTTTCTTTTTTTTTTTTTTGTTATGTTCATTGAGGTTTGATGCTGGTGAAGATTCTCAGTCATCCAGGTCATAGTCATTTAAAAAAAAGTTAAAAACAATCCGCTGGACTTTGTTTTCCAAGTTCAAAGAAATTTCGCTTCCCATCCAGGAAGCTTTTTCACATTTTAAATTGAAAAAGCTTCCTGCATGGGAAGCTAAACATCTCCAGTGATTTGTTTTTTAACTTTTTTGGATTGAGGTTTAATGACTTTCACTTTCCTCCAGTGTGTATTTGAAATGGTGCATGAGGAAGGCGATGGCCACAGCGCTGCACCGACTCCTGCCCTGCCTGGAAACTATCAGGACACGACATCCTGCATCTATATGAGAACCTGAACAAGAAAGACAGAAACAGGGAGTCGTGTTACCTGCCAATCAAGCTCTGATCAAATTTTGAATATTAAATCAGAAATTCACTAAATATCTTTCAAAATGTGAAAACGGTTGGCTAAAAATTTCAAGACAGGAACTAAAAACTAACAAACTATGATAAAACTTCAACATTAGGGACCACAAACATTGAAATGTGCAAATGCTGTAATATCAGGACTAATTAGAATAGAATAGAATGGAATAGAATAGAAAATGCCTTTATTGTCCCACCATGCGAAAATTGTGATGTTTACAGTAGCAAAAAGATTACAGAAAAAATTGTCACATAAATTAGAAAAATGTATAAGAATAACATAATAGTGAAAATTTAAAAGATAAACAATAAAATACAGACTGTAAAGTGTTTTAACAATATATAGAACAACATGCAAACAAACAATATATAACAGATCTAAGTTTGAAATCTAAAGTTAGCACACAGCTTCAGTCGCTTCAGCTAGTAACCACTGATCAGGCCCGAAATCTAGGTGTAGTGCTGGATTCAGACTTGAACCTCCAAAAGCATTTAAAGACAATTACAAGGTCGGCTTTCTATCACCTGAAGAACGTTTCCAGGATTAAAGGACTAATGTCTCAGCATGATCTGGAAAAACTAATCCATGCGTTTATTTTTAGTCAAATTGATTATTGAAAGCCCTTTGGGAAACTCCTCCAACTCCCATTGTCATTGTGACACAGCGCACACAAGTGAACACTGCACACCATGAAATTGCATTTATGCCTCACCCGTGCAAGGGGGCAGCCCTCAATGGCGCCCCAAGGGAGCAGTGTGGCAGGACGGTACCATGCTCAGGGTACCTCAGTCATGGAGGAGGATGGGGGAGAGCGCTGGTTAATTACTCCCCCCACCAACCTGGCGGGTCGGGAGTCGAACCGGTAACCTTTGGGATCCAAGTCTGACACCCTAACCGCTCACCCACGACTGCCTCCAACGGTGTCTTCACAGGTCTGCCTAAAAAGTGGATCAGACAGCTGCAGCTGATCCAGAACGCTGCTGCCCGTGTCCTCACTAAGACTAAAAAAGTAGAGCACATCACCCTGGTTCTAAAGTCCTCACACTGGCTCCCTGTATCTCAGAGAATAGACTTTAAAATACTTCTGTTAGTGTATACATCTCTGAATGGCTTAGCACCTAAATACATCACAGACTTGCTATCAGTGTATCAACCCTCCAGACCACTCAGGTCTTCTGGCTCCAGCCTGCTCTGCATACCTAGAACCAGAACTAAACATGGAGAAGCAGCATTTAGTTCCTATGCTCCACTTATCTGGAACTTCCAGAAAACTGTAAAAGTGCGGAAAGCCTGAGTTCCTTTAAATCAAGACTAAAAACACATTTGTTTAGGATTGCCTTCGACTGTTCTAGTTAAACAGTTCAACTAAAACATATTTTCTTTAGTCCAACTGTTTTTAATATTCTTTTTTGTTTCTGCATTTTTTATTTTTTTTTTTTTTCCTACTTGCTTTGATTCTGTTTTGTCTTCCTGTATTTTAATCATGTAAAGCCATTTGCATTGTCTTTGTACTGATTTGTGCTATACAAATAAATTTGCCTTGCCTTGCCTTGCCTAACAAAAACTTACTCCAGGGGGCAGAATGTAACCACGACTGTTTAGCTCTAGCAGTGGAAAAAAATAAAATCTCAACAAGTAATTTTTTTCTTAAAATAAGTGCATTTTTTCTTGAATTGAGGAGGTAAGAGTGAAACACAAATGACAATTTACATTTGAAATAAGTAAAAAAAAAATTACATTGTCTTATTTCAAGTGCATATTATCTAATTATCCTATTTTAAGAGTAGAAATACTCATTCCATTGTCAGATCATCTTATTTTCCTACTCAATTTAGGGGTAAATACACTCAATTTGAGAAATGTTGACTTATTTCTAGGTTGTTTTTGCAGTGAGTGAATACATCGTTGTGGTTTATTATCAATTTTACTCTTGATAACTTAAAGCAAAATCCAACACCCACTGCAGTCATGTGACATATTGGGTTTGTGTTTGTTTTTATACTATCTTATTCAAACCGCACAACCATAGAAAAGTATTTAAAACCACTTTAAGTGATAATGATACTGCATTGGCTTTACTTTAATGATCCATTAATGTTTGGTTGGACAAACAGGAAAAAATTGCCCTCTTTGCTATGATGCCGCTAAATAAAAACATGTTCAACTAACTGCCTTCTGGAGTTAGAGTCTAATTCATCTACACAGAAATGCAGCTGATCTGCATTTATGTGTAAAATATAGTCTTACTAGCAATAAATGGGTCTGGGTTAAGCCTGCTGTGAAGCCAGCATGTCCAGTACTCACTAATAAAGCTGCATATTTCTTGGAAGTTTGAATATAAATCCGACTCTACGTCGTCGTCCAGCGGGATGTCGAGGGTTGTGTGGGTCCCACTTAAAGACCTGAAAATTAATACATATATAAACACAATATATAAAGAAACTTGGAAAATGTCTTTTAGTTCGGAACTTGTCTTACTCTACAGAGTCAGTCGGAGTAAAATGTGAGATGTTGACCGTAGCGCTGATTTTCAGGTCCTTCAGGGTATTTGGATCCTGCCATTGGTTCTGGTCCCCCATATACAGCAGTCCAGCTATAATTTCCACTGGATAAATCTTGAAGTTTTCCAGCTCCTTAGATTAGTTAAAAAATATATTCAACTTTAATAGGCTGTCTGTTATTATCCCTCACAATAAAACTTAAGAGAGCGAATACTGACAGAAAATAAACCACTACCTTTAACCCCTTAACCCTTTAAAGCCCGATCCAAGAATAAAACAAAACAGAAAATTACTTTTTTTTGGTTTGAAGTCCTTATTTGGCCTTTTAACAAAATATGTAAAAAGAAAAAACTGAAAATTTCTTTTGATATTACTAATTTATTACTATGCGATACGTCAAGATTATTTTTTATGTAGTCTTCTGCCCTCTGTTATCAGGTATATCTGATTGTGAACAATAGGATTTTGAGCAAAGTTTTTACCATTAAATTATGCAAAAGGTGTCAGACGCAAAACATTTCAGAAACCGTATGAATCAAATATGATACATTTGGCATTACAGGGTTAAGCCCAGAGGGTCTTGGGAGCAAATTCAACCTGAATTTAGATATGTGAATTAAAGCAAGTCCAGCTCCCAAAATATAAATTGGAAATACAGTTGTTTGTATTTGTATGACAGAAAGGCATTGAGGAATATTTTTCGGGTGGAGCCGCTATTTTAAATGACACCATGTCTGATTTATAGGCTATTAAAGAATGAAAAAATTAAAAAATATTTAGCCTCGCCCAATTTTTTTCCTCAATAAACACTAAAAAACACCTTGAAATCCCAATTGAAACTCCTGATGAACTCTCAGACTTTATAGATCCATATCTTAAAGTCATGCAAATTTGAACTAAATAAGTTGAAGCGTGTTTGTTCCACAGAGGTTTTAGTGGGCAGTGTGCTAGGAGAAAATATCATTTTCGCACAATACTAAAAGTGCAAAAAAAAGCATTTTTCTGACTTATAATCTGGTCAGAAAAATATGCACATTTCCATTATTGGAGACCTTCTGCATAAGAAAAATGCCTTCGCTCCTAAGATTTAGCCGTTCATTCATTGAAATTTACCAACAATATCACAAACCAGAATAACAGAGCAAGCTTAGGTAACGCATGCCGGTTCCAACACCTGAAATGGTCGCACAATGACCTCCGACCCCTCCTTTGAAAGGTCTGAGCCTCTAGTTTTCAATGCTGGTGGCTATTAGAGGGTGTAGCTAAAAATTTATACCTGCTGTTGCATTTCTCCCACAGAGTCACACATGTCAGGTGGAATTTTAAATCAAATTTTATTTGTTTACACAGCTATAAAACAAAGTACATGTGAAAAAATAATTTTGAAACATGTCTTAGAAATTTCAAAGCTCCATTTGAAAGTTATGTGGATGAAACATCATGTGACTGTGTTTTGGCCTTTTTTATAAATAGATAAACATGAGTAGGTGCCAGTTGTTATCTGTACAGGGCTGGCCAGACTTAAGAAGTAATTAAATCTTTATAGCCTTGGAGAATCATTTGATGCACATCATTTGAAAGTTGAAGGGGGTATGTCTGGATTTGTAATCAGTATTTAGCAACAAGGGGTTTCCAGGTCCAGTCTTCCAGTGCTAGTATCCCGCTAACCTTTAGAAGCAGCCCTGCTCTGACACACCTGAACCAAAATGACGGGATTCTTTCAACAGGATCCAGTCATTCAGCTGTACTGGAGCAGGGATGACTGTAAAGACAACTGTCTCTCCCTAGAGACTGGACTTCAGCGACTCGCAGGGGGAGATTTACCATTAGGCAATACCAGGAAGTTGCCTAGGGCCCTAATTTCCTGGGGGCCTCATAAAACTATGTTTACATTTATTATTAATACAACTGTTCCTTATTTGTGCACATTAATTATGTTTTTGATAAAAATCCTTTCGCTAAAATACCATCAGAACGCTTATAGTATTAAGTGTGTCTCATCCTTCCCCTTCAGTGTCCACCATATTGGATCAGTCCATTTGCTGCACATGTTCAGAAAGGTCCAAACAGACAGCAGCAAATCATTTGAAAACAAACCATGCAAAGAGCAGTGTTGCTAACTTAGCGCTTTAGTCGCTAAATTTAGCCACTTTTCAGACGCCTCTAGCACCAAAAAAGTGCGTAACACCAAACCTTTTTTCTGCTACTGGAGACTTTGGAGACAACATCTAAAAGCAGCGAACTCTGCTCTCCAGAGCGAGTAGATTGGTAACCCCGCCTCCTGCTCTCCTCTATCTTGTCTGCTGTCATGATTCATGCAGCTATTATTTCATCCAAATGAAAAATGGAGAACAGAGAAGCAGATCATGGCTTGTCTACAGTGAAAAGAAGGACTGGGTTATTTACTTTGGCCTTTTTGGAAACACAGGAAGGAGCAATCAGCTAAGTGAGCTTAGTGCGTGGAAAAAATCTTTCATTCCTTTAGAGACAGCATGAAAAGTCAGCTGAGTACAAAACATAGAGAGGAAAACAAGAAGAAAAGGGACAAGAAGAGAGGGACACAACCTAGAACAGATAATGGATGTCTATTCTATTAACATTTCTCTATCTGGAGAATGGGGCTGTTTTATGCGTTGTCTTCTCCATTCAGAGGGGCCCCTGCCTGTCTTTCCCTGGGGCCCCACATTTCCTATATCCACCCCTGCATTTACCTGCACATAGCAGCTTTAACTGGAATGAAACGCAGCCCTTCCTTCATTTCTCCAACAACAGGGATCAAGGTGTAATAGAAAACAGGGAGAGATGGTCAAAGGTGAAGCTAAGCCCATTTTCCTTAATTTTTTTCTTTATTATTTAGTTAAATCCATTAAAATGCAAAGCATTGTTAGGAGACACATTTTAGGTTTTCTCTTAATTTGAAAAATATACATCTGAAGCGTTAAAACAAAGAACTATATTCTAACTGGTTCGAAGGAAACATGAGGCCAAAATGTCTAAACTTTGTGCAAAAAATAAGAAAATAAAAACAGTTTGAATGGATTTGCTGCTTCCATAGGATTAAAGGGAAAGCTGAGGTCAGTTGCTGCTGATCAGATGCACTTCATTAACTAATTATCATTGAGGCTATCTCCATTAAGCAGGCGTCTTCATAGTTAGGCGCTCTGAAGCACACATGCACAGACTAACAACACACACAGTTAGAAAACAGCAACGCTTTCTGCATCAATCAATCTGAAAAGAGTTAGAAACAAACATGCTGACGTCGTTCCTTCTGCAACCAGAATAATTGTGCATTAGAAGGAAACTATATAAGACAGCAGCCACTTGTTTCTCAAGAGCTGACATCTTAGCAAATTACCGCCATGCGTGGTGCATTGCTCAGAGAAGTGACAATAATAGATGATTAGAAAAAGATCAACAAGCGCGACTCTCTGTCTGAAGAGCACCGGCAACAATATGGTTACAAACACTTTAAAAACTATTTGGTTCAGTCAATTTTGACCAACATTTTTAGAGTGAAATGTGAGGTTATCCCTGCTGGTGGAAACTGGCTCAGCAGTAGGGGTGGGCAAAGAAGTCACGATGCGATTCTATCACGATGCATCACGATACTTGAAATTCTATTCTATTCTATTAACATTTCTCTATCTGTAGAATGGGTCTGTTTTGTGTGCTGTCTTCTAATTTCAGGGGCCCCCTGTCTGTCTTTGCCTAGGGCCCCAAATTTCCTAAATCTTCCCCTGGCGCTGTGTGTGTAAATTATCCCACATGTTCATAACCCTTCAAATGTTTCACATTTTCTTATGTTACTACCAATATCTTCAATGTATTTTATTGGGATTTTGTGCAGTAGATCACCATAAAGAAAAGAATATTATGGATTATGTTCAACATTTTCTAAAATTACACAAAGTCTGAATAAACTATTTTCATTTGCATTACAGCTGCAACTTTTTTAGGGATTGTCTCAACCAGCTTTAGACATGTAGTAACAGAATTTACAAGCCTTTTAATTTATAAATTTCAGATTACAAGCAGATTCTGTTTCATTTAGATCAGGCCTCGAAATTAATTACTTATTTTATTTATTTATTTATTTGACAGTGTACAATAAACATGTCTGCAAATGCACTAGAAATAGCCAAAAGGCTATTTTCATCTGTTGCCCCTGAACAGATCTTACTATTTTCTACCTAAAAACACAACAGTAAGAATTTTTCAATGAAAAATACAAATATAAAAAGTAATAAAAACAACTATAACTCTTCAAAACTTGCTTAATTGAATAGGTTAATATATATATATATATATATATATATATATATATATATATATATATATATATATATATATATATATATATATATATATATATATATAAATATATATATATATATAATACACACAGTAAAGACACAAGTAGCAGCACTTCTGAAGCTAACAAGTGGAATCAAATTTTATCTAGAGAAATTAGAAGAAAGGTTACCCAAAAAGAAACACATGCAGCTATTAACACTTTTTTGTGTTGGTCTGTTGCATGAAATCCAAATAACATTCTTTGAAGTGTGTGGATGTGAAGTGACAGATAGGAGGAGTTCAAGGTGAAATACTTTTGGAAGGTCAGTGTTTAAAGGATGGGACTGCAATGGTGTTCTTGTTTCTAAACTTTTTAAAAGTCACCTAATAAATACTGAAGTCCTGAATGAGAGATGAGTAAAAGTAAGGTTGCTTGTGTTTGTTGAGTTTTACCGTGATGGTGTAAAAGATCTTCTCGGTCCTTAAAAATGGATACAGAGCAGAGAACCTCTGAAAGCCTCCTTTCAGTATTTTTACTGGAGTGGAGCTGGATTTTGCCACTACATTGGCACAGGCAACTGCTCTTCCTAAATATTACAGAAGAGAGCAGGGCTGATATATTTGACTGTTTGTAGGAAAAAAAAGTATATCATAACATATTGAGTATTATTTTATAGAGAACATACCTTGTTCCTTTAAAGAGCTTGTGTTGCTGTCATAGACAACAATGTGTCGCATGCTCTCAATCTCCACCGTATATGGCAAGAGGAAGGAACCTTTTGCAACCTGCAGGTATTTATTAGGATAATTTGTGTTAAAAACACTCCCTATAGTAGGAGATACAGAAAAATACATAAATAAATAAAATAGATAAATTTAAATTAAAGTTTTTTCCTTCAATATCCCCAGGTGTTTGGGGTTTTGATGTGTGTCATTTATTAAAGGAAAAGTCAGTTCAGCAAGGAATAACCAATGGATCATTATTTATGCCTAAAACTAACACGTTCAAAGAGATTTCATGAATTTGGCGTTAATCAGTAAAAAGATAAAAATTATTAACTTTTGTCTTGATCAGAGTCTGGAAGCGGCCATTTTTGTCCAAGTATAGTAACCCCTCCCTCCTGCCATCTTCCAGCAGTGACGTCACGGTGCGGTAAGCCTAGCTTACCAAAAAAGAAAGAGTTATTCCACCTTTCTGATTCCTGATCCTCCACGGACGGGTTGGTCGTTGGATCGCCAACTTGAAGAGGGAGGATTTGCCATCGAACTTCTGGCCAGAGAAAAAACCCGTAATATGTAGCCAACATTTGGAAGAAGAATGTTTTCAAGATGACTTGGATAATAGCGCGTTGTGACAAACACCAGATACAGCACTGGGACTTGATCAACAGCCGATACCGCACAGTGACGTCACAAACCAGTAGGTGGCAGTAGTGTTCTTTGACAAACATGGATGCCTCCAGTAAAGCACATTCAAATGAAAAATACTCTCAATTAAAAACACTTAATCATTTATTGAACAGTATGTCATAATTTCATATTTAAAGTACTTTTAGAAGTTTGTATTCTGAATGTGACCCGTCTTTTCCTTTAACATTTCTTTGTCTATTAAAGTTACATAAAGTCTTGCCATATTCTGATGTTTAGTTTCATTTTTTTTTAACCAATAAGGGCTTCCCATATAGGTTGATGCATTTCTCTTTAGTCTCTTAAACTGTGTTCAAATTGTGTTCAAGTCTGCATCCTTTGAAGACCAAATCTATAAGTAGATTACGTCATAGCAAGGCAACAATGGCTATTTAAATTCATAGGCCCCACTAAACATGGTCGTCAACTATGTCCGTCTTCCCAGATTAGTAGGTATTCATTAACCTGACTCTGCCAGATGGATTTGCTCCGCATATCCATCTGGAAACCTTCCGTAGAAGTAATTTTGGGAAGGGGTGAAAATACTGGTTAGCTGATTGGCCTATGTTGGTGATAGACGGGCCAAATAAACCAATCAGATCAACGAAGCATATAATGTGCTAACAGAGCGATGACGAAGAGGAGCCAATTGATAGATCAAACTCTTGCCGAAACCAGATGGGAGAAGAGCAAAAACATCTTTTCCTCTGAGAAAAGCCTCCAGAGCAGTGTTTTGCTCTTCTTTCAGTGAAGAAATACTCTGTAATTCCGATAAAACTTGCTCGATAGCCACGGTAACGCTAGTTTCATCGGCTGAAGCCGCCATGTTCTTTAGACTAAACTGTCGCGCTTCTCGTTGCGTCACACCTCAACCCGCCTCAAAGCCAACGCTGATTGGACGTTCGTTTGGTGAACGGCTCCAAATTTTCTTTAACGGAGAGTCTCCAGACTGATCTGCGAGTGAAACCTTCAGATCAGGATGGTCTCACAAGGCTAGGTATTCATTGCATCCCACATTATCTCCTGATTCATTAAGGGTTGAAGAAGGTTGTTCAAACAAACTGTTAACTTGGAGTTAGTTCCCACTGCATACGCTGCCTGCTCAACTCAACAGGCTGAACAGAATGCCTGATCCAGGAACAAGCTTTACCGCTTCCCCCTGGGCTTAATACAGATATGATTCAATCAGATGATATTGGCTTCTAGTCAACAGCAGTTAATCTGAGGTCAGTGGGAACATCTCCAGAAGGCTAGATCATCCATTTCGCAGCTGGTATTTGCAGTTTGCATGTCCTTCAAAACATCCAACCCCTGAATTTGAACGCCGCTTTAGTTTTAGTATCTTGGAATGTTATTTTACTTGAAATATCAGAGATGAAATTCCGAAAATGTTATACCAAGTGATATGAGGAGCTTTTAGTGCATACCATTTTCACATTTTTGGCTGTCACAATATGACTTGTGTTGTAGTCTTGGGTTTCCTGGGCGTCTATAAAAGAAAGTTTATTTCTGATTTCAATAACGAAACCAAGATTTTATAAAGGGAATAAAAAATAAAAAATAAAAAAAACAGATCAGAAAAGTTGACAAAGTAAACAACTAAAAACTCACCAATCAGACAGAAGTAGTTGATCTCTGACAGCCTGGACACACAGCGGCACTGGTTGAGGAGATTATAGAGCTCAACAGGTTCACACATGGTGATATGGGCCATGGCAGCAGGGGGGGTACAAAAGAAATCTGAAAAAAAAATGTCAACAAGTGAGCATGGTTTCTTCAATGTGGAGGGTTTCTTTTTTGTTGTTTGGTTGCTTTCTGTTGCTAAGCAACACAGAACTAGCCCTCATTGGTTGCTGTTGATGATGTAACCTTAAAGGGACCATATCCTGATTCCTAATAATGAAACATTTTATTCCTGGTGAATAGATGAATGGTTTAAAAGGATTAAATTCATAATTTTAGTCTGATTATCAGCCTCTTATGCTGGTTCTAACAGGCTTTCTTCCAGGAGTGTTTTACATTTAGCTCCATCCATCTTCTTCTTTAATCTAACATGCATGCTTTTTCCTGCTGAAGAAAAAACATTACACAGAATAGCTTCACAGATACTTACTAAAATGCTTTTTTTATTGTTTTTTTTTTTTTATGTGCCTTTTAATCACGGGCGGATATAGGAAATTTGGGGCCCTAGGCAATGACAGGCAGGGGGAGAATACAACACATTTGTCATCATGTTTTTAAGAGATCTGACCCACATGCAGGAAACCACTCAGAGAACCAAAGGAAAAGTTGAACAGGTTTGTTAAAATAATAAATCAGGTTGGTGCAGCAGAACTGGAAGTGAGAAGGGAAGTTCAGAGGTAAGTTCAGGGACCGTGGGAACTTTGAACAACGTCTTGCAAAAATCAGAGATAAACGGGACTCACGTTAGTAGAAAAAGGCTCTCTTCCCAGAATCCAGTCGGTGTGGGCTTATCCAGTGATTGGGGGGCTCATTTGAGGGCAGACAGGTTTTTGGTTAGGTTGGTTTCTTGAGGAGCAATGGAGCGGACTGCCACTTCGATTTCCAGGAGAACTTGAATGGGTCGTGTGGAGATTAATCCCCTGCTCAGTGTGAAGCTCAAAACAATGCTTCCAGCGGTAGAAGGCCAAAAAATCCAGTTTGCAGGATGACTTCCTGCCGAAAAGGCAAAAACAAAAAACAAGTTTAGACTCAGAAAAAAACTCAGCTTGGCAAGAGTATCTAAAACTGGCAAACACTCTGGCAACGAGGTAGTGGCAGTCCACTGCTTAAGAATTCCTCAGTAATGAGCCAACCAGCCGCAGGTGTGTGGAAGGGCCAACGACAACAGGGCGCCACCTGGTGGTGGAGGGAGAGAACACAAAAAGACATACACAGCCCACACACACTGGATTCCTAACAACATAAAACAGAGACATTCTACAGTTAATAGAATAGACATCCATTATCTGTTCTAGGTTTTGTCCCTCTCTTCTTGTCCCTTTTCTTCTTGTTTTCCTCTCTATGTTTTATACTCAGCTGACTTTTCATGCTGTCTCTAAAGGAATGAAAGATTTTTTCCAAGCACTAAGCTCACTTAGCTGATTGCTCCTTCCTGTGTTTCCAAAAAGGCCAAAGTAAATAACCCAGTCCTTCTTTTCACTGTAGACAAGCCATGATCTGCTTATCTGTTCTCCATTTTTTATTTGGATGAAATAATAGCTGCATGAATCATGACAGCATACAAGATAGAAGAGAGCAGGAGGCGGGGTTACCAATCTACTCGCTCTGGAGAGCAGAGTTCGCTGCTTTTAGATGTTGTCTCCAAAGTCTCCAGTAGCAGAAAAAAGTCTCTAGATTTGGCGCTAGGAGCTTTTTAGAAATCAAAGTGCTAGAGGGGTCTGAAAAGTGGCTAAATATAGCGACTAAAGCGCTAAGTTGGCAACACGGCTCTTTGCATGGTTTGTTTTCAAATGGTTTGCTGCTGTCTGTTTGGACCTTTCTGAACATGTGCAGCAAATGGACTGATCCAATATGGTGGACACTGAAGGGGGGAGGATGAGACACACTTAATATTATCAGCTTTCTGATGGCATTTTAGCCAAAGGATAAAAAAAAAAAAAAAAACATAATTAATCTGCACAAATAAGGAATAGTTGTATCAACCATACATGTAAACAGAGTTTTATGGGGCCCCCAGGAACTTGGGGCCCTAGGAACCTGCCTAGTATTGCCTGATGGTAAATCCGCCCCTGGTTGCAGCTGAGGTTAGCCCAACCATCAACACTGTGAGCTGGGGTGTTGCTGTTTTGTCTACAAGAAGACATAGACGAGGACAGAGGGAGAGTTACGTCTATCCATGTCTCTAGGAATTTAAGTATTTTATCCCCAGAATGGTTTGACCAAAGCACACTCCCATATAGGATGTAAAAAAATACGCATTTTTCCACTTCCCGCAGACATTACCATTTATTAATGCTATTCTAAAAAGTCTGCATGGGGTTCAGTAGAGCCTATGTAGAATTTTATATTGAATATATTTACACCATACTTCTTTGATATATTTAATTCATTTCTTAATTGAATAAATACAGAAATCTTATTTAATAAAAAAACAAGGTTTACTTTTGTCAGGATTACTGGGTCTGGCTGTTTGGCATTCTGTATATACATAAAGCCAGATTTGAGTTCAAAGAATGTATTTCACAGTGCAGTCATATTCATATGTAAAATAAAAGCAGCTTTATTCCAGAATTAAAAGTCCAAACAAACCATGACACATACACTCACACACAGACTTTTGTCCTGCTTATACAGCGGCTTTTGAGAACAACATGTACTCAGTTCCAGCCTGGCCTGAATGAAGGACTGTGTCCTCCGTTCATCCCAGAGTCACCAATCATGCTGGCAGTTGGTGAGAAAAACAAAGCTTTTTCCTCAAGATGTGGACAGAGAAGGATGCTCCTTCTAAAGGCACAAAGATTTACCAGATTTTCTCACTTGTATTTCTTGGATTCCTAAAATCTGGTAAGTATTATTTTCAAAACTGAAATCACTTGACAACCTGAGGCTGAACTGAACCTTAAGATGTTGGTAAAGCTGCAGTTGGACATTAAATGCAACGTTTTTCTGATGCATGACAGCAGAACCTAAGCTTATTTACCTTCAGGTCTTTAAACAGCAACTAGAGAGAATGAGTTTAATAGCTTTTATTATTTACTTGTTTTTTTTTAATGTTTTTTTCATCCTCAACGTTGTTTCTTCTTGCCAAAAAACTTAAAAACTGGTGTGATAAAAAATAGCGGCAGGTTTCCAGTCTACTCTGCGTTTGTTTGGTTACTTTACCCCCTTATAATGTCAGTATTTGTTGCAGGGAGGCTGAATTGAATCAAACTGTGTGTGTATGTGTGTGTGTGGATGTGGCCATGTCTTTAATACCTGGTGGAGACAATTTCCTAGGAATATGCTACATTTTGGGGACTCATAGGTACTTGTGGGGACCAACAACTGGTCCCCACAAGGAAAGTTTCTCTTCTTGGGGTGGGGGTTAGGTTTAGGACTAAGGTGTGAATTGAGTTTAGGTTAGGTTTAGGGATAGGTATGTGTCGGTAATGGTTAGGGTTAGGGCAAAGGTCACGGTTAGGCCATATAGATTAGTGGGAAATGAATGGAAGTCAATGGAAGGTCCCCACAAGGATATTGTGACACAACATGTGTGTGTGTGTGTGTGTGTGTGTGTGTGTATTATTTGTCCACAGACTGTACCCAGAACCACTGCTGTACATTTTCTGTGTGTCATCATGTCATGTTATTGTGGTCACTGCGCTGCTCTGTTTCTGCAGTTCTAGCCTGGTGTCTGGATTGCTCCCAGTGCTCTTTTCATGGACTGCCAAGAGGGAAATTGGAACAAACAATGCTCATATTTGTTGCTCCATGTGGGGCCCATCCCAAAGCCTGACAGCTTTTACCATAGTAATGAGGTTCTGTCATATAAAGTCGCTCCAGTTTGATACAGCTGCATGGTTCTTTACAGAAGCACTGTTTGGAGAAATTATATCCATGAAATACGATCCAGAACCCTCAACATTTTGGAGGTTTCTGGAGCTTTGTTAGTGTGGAGTAATATTGTTATACTTTGCTTTCCCTCTGTATAGTGACAGGTTGGGTTGACCACTCTCTAATGCAGGGGTGTCAAAGTGGTTCCAGAAAGGACTGAGTGCTTGCAGGTTTTCTTTCCAACCAACCAATAGCACACCAGAGTCCCTTGACTGGAGTCTGTTGTGTTATTGGTTGGTTGGAAAGAAAACCTGCAGCCACTCGGCCCTTTCTGAAATCACTTTGACACCTGTGCTCTAATGACTGTTCATGCAAATAGGTGGGGGAACACTTGGAAGGTGATTCCAAAAAAGTAAAAAAAAACAAAACAAAAACAATCAACTGTACTTTGTTTCCAAGCTTGAAGACTGTCATGGTTTTCGTTCTGTTCGAGTTTTATCTCTGAGTTTTCATTGGTCTTATTTCAATTTTTGCGTTCTAGTTATATTTGATTGTATTTGAGTTCTTTGATATTTCCTGTTTGCCGTCTTGTGTCAGTCTCCTTTTCCCTAGTTCCCTTCTTGCCTCTGTTCCCACCTTCTCCCAATCTTCGCCTCTAAATCCGCCTGATCTTTGTTTCTCTCTCCCATATATGCTCCTCCTGTTCAGTCACTCTTTGCTGGTTTGTCTTCATTTCTTTGCCCTGTTGTTGTGGGTATTCCTGGTTTTCAGTATTTTTCAATTTTGTGGATTTATATTTTTATATTTTTGCTTCTGTTACCCTTTTTTGCTAATCAAATGTGGCAAGAAACCACCTCAGCTTCAATCTCTGCATTTGGGTCCTCTTCAAACCTCCGACCCACTTCACAAAGACGTTTCGCTTCCTAACCAAGAAGCTTTTTCAATTCAAAATGTCAGGAATAGCGTTGAGTTCCAGGCTATATACAGTAGCCCGACAAGCCTTTGTTTTTTGTTTAGGAAACATGCAAATTTAAAACGGACGAACTGGTCCACCCCTTTCGAATGGGGGTCGTTTGGCTTCCAAGAGATGGACCCATCCGTCCGTTTCAATTTGCATGTTTTCTAAACAAAAACAAAGGCTTTGTTGGGCTACTGTATAAAGCCTGGAACTCAACACTATTCCTCACATTTTGAACTGAAAAAGCTTCCTGGATGGAAAGCGAAACGTCTTCAAACTTGGAAAAACAAAGCCCAGTGAATTGTTTTTTAAGTGTTTTGGAATGACCTGGAAGACTGAGAATATTCACCAGCATGAGCTCCAGTTTTATAAATACAGGTTAATAATATGATTTTATTTGGTATTTATTTTTGATTCCTTACCAACTTCCAGGAAACATATTTATGTGTTTTTTATGGATGGAAAGCATAAAATGTCTAGTAATCAAGTGCTCAAATTAAAAGCTTAATTAATATTGTATATTTTATAATTAGTTATTGTACATTCCACTTTTGGACAATCAATACTTTTGACTGAGAGGGGGACTCATGGGAAGACATGATGCCCAAATGGGTACACAAGTCAAAAAATGTAGGGAAACGCTGGTCTAAAGGGAGGTTTGTTGCTTATGTAAATATAAATACATATTTGAATCTTTATTATAAATGTATTTGGGATTCTATCTGAAGAATCTCAATATAATATTTCCAATGTGCGACGAGCCTTTGTCATTTGCTCCATGCTTTTCTGCAGGTGAAGTGGAGGCAGTGAACATGACCATCCCTAACACTCTGATCAGAGGAGCACTTGGAGGGGAAGCCCTTCTTTCAGTTCGCTACAGCAGCTCCAGCCTCGACCCCCCGGTTATAAAGTGGCAACTTCAAAGGGAAAAGGCAGTCACCGTGGTTCAGTCTGTTGGAACAGACATCGTTGGGACATTGAGGCCTGAGTATCAAGACCGCATCCTTGTGTTTGACAACGGGACTCTGCTGCTCCACAACCTCAGACTCTCTGATGATGGGACCTATGAGGTGGAGATCTCCATCACAGATGATATTTTCCCCGGAGAGGGAGACATCAAACTCACGGTGGATGGTAGGTTCATAAACCTTTTATTTGTATCGTTACAAAGGAACAGTGAATAAAAAGAGAAAACATTGCATCCAAATGTCGCTAACCAAACCCATCGGTTTTAAATTGACCTTGAATAAACCACAACACTTTGGGAACAATGTCCATTGGACATATGAGACCAAAGTAGAGCTTTTTAGATGTTTAAATTCAGCAGATTTTTTTTTTCAAATCAGATTTTTTCAATTCAGTTTATTTCTATTGCACCAATTTACAACACGTCATCTCAAGGCACTTTACAGTTCACCAGATCATCCAGTCAGAATGATTAAAAGTTTTCTAAGGAAAACCAGCTGATTGCATCGACTCATTGACTCAAATCCAATCCCTCACACTAAGCATGCTTGTAGCGACAGTGGAGAGAAAAAACTCCCTTTTAACAGAAAGAAACCTCCAGCAGAACAAGGCTCAGTGTGAGCGGCCATCTGCTGAGGCTGACTATTATTTATTATTTCTGCCCTGGAGTGTAAAAAATGCTTAGCAAAAAGGCTTGGCTAACTGCATGTAGCAAGGTGAAGGCTTTATTCTGCTTTCCCTGCCTCCTTTTTCAAACATCAGGATCTGACCCAGCATAGATAAAGACAGCTAGGACTGATTTAAAACACTTTTTAGAAAAGGCAAAGAAGAATGAACAATCTGGGATTCAATATAGTGTACTCTTTACTAGATGTTTGTTAATTTGCATAGTTGCTCCTAAATTAATATATTCTCAGAAAATAAATAGTTTTTATATATTAGAAAATATAAAGCTAACTAATAGCTTCTCCATTATTAAACTGGTACATTATTTTTTTAGGTTTGTGACACAATATTGGACCTTGCAAACACGGATCTATCTTCAAAAAGCCTCAGAAGGACAGGGTTTATGTACAAAAAGTAAACCTGTTCATGAAATCATGTATTGTTTATATAATTTATGAAGTGTTTTAATGTTTTTGTTGTTGGAATTCATATAAATATACTGTGTGATAACTTAGTATAGATTTGATTGGTTTTTGGTATATGTCTATTTTGAATTTATAGCACCCCCCCTGGAGAAAACTCCACCAGCCGCCACTGATTCTAACCTTGCTGGGAGAAATCTCTAGCCTCGTGAGACCATCCTGATCTCGCGAGCTTTCAATGTTTCACTCGCTAATCAGTCTGGAGACTCTCCGTTGAAGAAAATTTGGAGCCGTTCACCAAACGAACGTCCAATCAGCGTTGGCTTTGAGGCGGGTTGAGGTGTGACGCAACGAGAAGCGCGACAGTTCAGTCTAAAGAACATGGCGGCTTCAGCCGATGAAACTAGCGTTAGCGTGGCTATCGAGCAAGTTTTATCGGAATTACAGAGTAATTCTTCACTGAAAGAAGAGCAAAACACTGCTCTGGAGGCTTTTCTCAGAGGAAAAGATGTTTTTGCTCTTCTCCCGACTGGTTTCGGCAAGAGTTTGATCTATCAATTGGCTCCTCTTCGTCGTCGCTCTGTTAGTACGTCATATGCTTCGTTGATCTGATTGGTTTATTTGGCCCGTCTATCACCAACATAGGCCAATCAGCTAACCAGTATTTTCGCCCCTTCCCAAAATTACTTCAACGGAAGGTTTCCTGATGGATATCGGAGCAAATCCATCTGGCGGAGTCAGGTTAAGAAATCTCAGCCTGGACCCTTAACCATGAACCCTTTGCTCTGGACCAAAGAGGGAAAACTTTTCTTCTGCTAAACACACCTCTGATGTCTTATAAATCGACCCTCAGAATGACTTAGATGTTGCTTTTTTATTTCCTAAACTGTTAAATCAAAGTACTGGAGTGAAAACTGCATCCTTGATTGAGAGATTTGAACACTCGGAGCTGAATACTGTACCACAGAGGTATTTTGTTTTTGGCTCTGGTCTTAATGTAGGTGGGATAGAGCTATGCTGGGAATGCTGTTCACTAAGATGTTTGTTTCACTGGACAGAACCTGCTCCTAAGTGTAGCTACTACATCCCTCTTTGCTGATTTCACCAGACTTTACATTTCTCTGTAACAATTCAGTTTATTTCTATAGCGCCAATTCACAACACATGTCATCTCAACGTGCTTTATAGTTCACCAGATCATCCAGTCAGATTGATTGAAAGTTTTCTATCTAAGGAAGACCAGTTGATTGCATCGACTCATTGACTCTTCAGCAATCCCTAACACTAAGCATGCTTGTAGTGACAGTGGAGAGGAAAAACTCCCTTTTAACAGGAAGAAACCTCAAGCAGAAGCAGGCTCAGTGTGAGCGGCCATCTGCTGAGGCCCACTGGGGTTGAATTATGCTGTATGAATCTGTTTTTTTTATTTATTTTTTTTACATACAAAAGTAAATGTTGTTGTTTTTTCTCACCCTTATGTAGAGCCTATATCCAGGCCATTCATCCACATGGAGTCCTCATCAGTGCTGGAGCTTACTGAAAACTTTGTCCTTAACTGTTCCCATGACAACGGAACCAGGACCACGTATAAGTGGTTTAAAGGTGGGAAACCCTTGACCTATGATTCGAGGTTTGTGTTGTCACCTGATCAGAAGTGGCTGACCATCCCCCGAGTGCTAATGACTGATGAGGATATCTACAGCTGCACGGTGGGGAACCCATTGGGCAATATGAGCAGCCTGCCAATCAGACTGGCCGTATACAGTAAGTATAGAGGCGCTTATGATCATATGGACAGAATGTTTGTTTTTCTACAGGTGCAACATTGAAAAACTATTTGCAAAATTATTATACAATGGAGTAAAAAATATTTTTGACTCCTAGAAGTAAAAATTTGAAAAGATTTGGCTGTGATAACAGTACAAAATATTTTGTGGCAAATTCCATAATTGAAGAGGGAGAAAAATAGAGGTTAACTGCCAAGGATTTCTGAGGAGAGTTTTCCAATTCTTCATGGAAATATGAAGAACTGTACTATGAGTCAGATCCCAGCACGGTGAAGGTGGAATACAGATATGGGCCAGTATTATTCAAGATGACATACTTTGAAGCATGCTTAAAAAGTTAAAGGTATAGTGGAGGGTGTTAATTTTCCAGGTGGATCATCAAAATAAGCGTTCCTCCTAACTGTCAATCGTTCTGGTGATGTGTTTACGTAACGCCGTCCTACGTGCTCATCCCCGTTTTCACTTACCGATGGTGAGTCTGACATAGTGGAAAAATTGCAAATCTACTTTAGGAAAGTAAGCTAGTATGAGCGTTGCAAATAAAAACGTTTAAACAGCGCGTACACGAGGAGAAATAGGCCCATGCAAGCACATGATAGGCGATCCTTCTCAGGAGCGGGTACAGGGTTGTGCATGTGCATTTTTTTTTTTTTTTATTACGTGGACAGGCCGGGTCTTTTCAAAAATTCATAAAGATCCTCCACTTTACATTTAATCAAGTAAACAAGCAAGAAACATAAAGAAAACCAGTTCTGTATGCCTGAAATGTTGTAACAGGATAAGCAAAAAAGTTAGATGGACTTAAAATCATCGGTCAAACCTACAGTCAGTACAGCAGAACCCCGCTTTCCAGAGGGGAGTCAGAAAAAGTGTGCATATTTTAAGAGGCAGTAATTGTTTGCAAGATAATTCTCCATCTCATGCAGCAGAGTGTTCCAGTGTGCAGCATTGCTCATTAAGAACTTACAGCTCCTTCTCGAGAGGTTTCCTGGGGCTTCCCAGGAGGCTGGGTTCTGCTGCACAATAATTTGTCCAGGGGACTGACACTGCATTGAAAGAAAGCTTTCCCTAGTATTGAAAAAAATGATTGCTTTTTGTGTCTCAAAAAGTCAGAATTCATAAAATTCTTCACATTAAAGATGAAAACAAACAATTGACATTGGATTCGTAGAAAATTCAGACATGTTGTACTTGTATTTACATAGTGCTTTGCTTTATGGACGTACACGCATAAGACAGTTAAAACCTCACGTTTCTTTCTTTAATGCTTTGCTGAGATCTTTATTGGCATTCAGGATGGACTGAAAGTTCTGCACTCCTTCAATATGTAAATCCCCAAAACTACAACTAGAACTCAAAGTGTGACTGAGATGCATGATCAAGGCCAGCTTTGACAAGCTTTTGGCGCCCTCTCCTGGAGCGGTCATCCTATTATTTTTCATTTTCAGATAATCAACTTTTTGAATCAGGCAATGTATTTTTTAAGTCTCACTGGAAGAAATCATATAGCCAAATGAAGCTTACACACACACCCACACACCCACCCACACACGCACACACGCACACACATATACACACATATACACACACATACACACACACACACACACATATATATATATATATATATATATATATATATATATATATATATATATATATATATATATATTTTTTTTTTTTTTTTGTGTGTGAATATTGGATAAAAAACATAAGTTTAACAGGAAGGTTACTTTAAGTGCAATTTGGGGGAGAGGGGGTGTGAAAAATAAGTTTTACTTCTTCATACTCCTTTCCTATGGAAGCCCATTTCCGCCACATGAAAATAAAAAAAATGCCAAATAGAAAGTCATAATTATAAGATTCAAAGTTATAATTATGAGGTACATAGTCATAATTACAATATTGTCATAAAACGGGACAGATGGACCCAGTATTCAAGGTGAGACAGTCACGCACAGATGCAGACAGCCAGGCTCAGTGGTTGAGAGAACAAAGACAAGACGTTGTACCAGAATTTCTGCAGGAAACATTAAACTGGTCTCTTCCTAGGAGTCAGGCTTACAGGAATAAAACTGACCCTCTCTGCTTTCCGAGCCAAAACCCTGAGGGCTCCGCAGAGAAGGACCAGGACACGATCAGGAGACAAGACAGACACAAGAACCCTCTCAATCTGTTGGCCGCCAGGAACCAGGACATGAACCATGGAAAAAACGAAACTAACTAAACAGACAAAGGGAAAACAAATAATGATCGGTCCCGATCGCTCGGGCTGAACTGAAGACAAAGCACAGACGCAGGTGGAAAAGAGGAGTGAAAATTAAGAACTGGGCAGAACTAGGCTGGTGAGTGAAACTGACAATTAGGGTGAAGCTATCAGGCCAGATGATGACAGATACAAAGCTTAAAAGTCAAATATTTCATAATTATGACTTTGAAAGTCTGAATTATGACTCTGAATCTGATAATTATGACTTTCTATTTGTTTTGTTTTTTACTTTCATGTGGCAGAAACGTGCTTCCATACTTTTCAGACAATTTACATTAATTGCTGTAATTTCTCTGGCTGTATATACTGACAGCTTTATTTGTTAGAATAATTTGTTTCTATTTATGTTCAGGTGAGTTTAGTTTGTTTGGAAATTGGAGTCTGGTTTGATGTTAACCAGCCTCTTTGTGTGTGTATTTAGTTGATTTATTTATTGTGGTTTTTCAAAATTGTCTGAAATACATTCCTTTTCATCTCATTGGCATACATTGTTTGGCTCCTAAAGGTTAGAATATATCAGGTGATTCTAAAGATGATGAAGTAATTTTCTCAGATGAGAAGAAAAGTCAAAGAGTTGGTCAGTCCTCTGCTCTGTATGTCAGAAAACAAAGCTCTTCACATCACTGTAAACACATCCTCCCGTAGAAAAACATATGTGGGGATGTTTCCTACTGTAGGAACAGAAAGGATGGTGAGATTGAAGATATAGAGGAAACCCTGTTGGAAGCTAGAAGACAAGTATTGGGTAAAGGCTCACTGTTCAGCAGGACAACGACTAAACATACGTACTGTCCTGCACCAAAGGGTTTAGATCAAAGTATGCTAATGGTAGAATGGCCTAGTCAAAGTCTAGACTCAAAACCAGCTAAGAATATTTGTCAATGCTTGAAAATTGTCATAATGGGTTTCAGGATGCTAGCCTATATGCAGAACACAACCAAAGGCAGGGAAAAAGTTCAAAGGTTTAATGAAGTATATGTACAAAAACAGCTCAGGTGGGTAATCAGGTCCAGGGACTGGTCACGACTGGATTCACTGTTCAGAGGTTTGAGCAGAGCAGCAGAAGGGGGAACCAGGAGGGTCAGGAGGCTGTCGGCAGGCTGAGGGCTTGCAGATTCCGGGTTTGAGTTTCCCTTCCAGATTCTTCAGGGGGCAGGTTGGCAGATCTTTGGCAGGTTTGGTTCTCCAGGGTTCTTCTGAGATCAGACAGACCGATTTCCAACAGAGAAAACTCTTCAGAGGGTTTCTGGTTTCAGGCAGGTTCAACCGTGACTGACTAACACTCTGGCCCTGGAGTGTGGTTCTCAGCCCGCTTAAATACTGGTCTCCTGGTGAGCAGATAAGGAACAGCTGGTGAAGTAAGCTCCAGCTTCAGGAGATCCAATACGCCCTCTGGTGGAGAAAAGATAGACAGAACCCCAGATCCAAACAGTAACACAAACCCCTAGGAAGGGATCCTCGGCGCCCTCTGGTGGGCAAACCTCAGGATCCCAACAAAAATGTCCAAAGCTTGAAGATCTACACTCAAAAAGACTTGGAGCTAAAAAGATGTGCAACTCAAACTTTTAATTTTTTTGATTTTGTAAAATATATATTTGTAAATATGTTGAGTTTTGTGATTATTATTATATTATTAGCATTGCATCTTTGGGTCTAATCTGACAGATTATTTCCATGGTAATACATTACAGAAGAACCCATACTACAAACTATGGGTACACATCGCAAATTAACATTAAAGCAGCTTTCCGTTGGCATCGGGTCACAGAAAGATAAGCTCACTAATGTAAACACTTATTCATGAACTCTTGTGTCACACCAGGAAGAAGCTCTGTCTACATTATCCTGTCCACTGGGGGAATCTTCATCTTCATCACGCTGGTGACGGTGTGTGCATGCTGGACTCCCACTAAAAAGTAAGTCTTGATATTTACCTACACTGGAAAAGTGATCTAGAAATAAGTAAAAATTTCTTAAATTAAGTGTATTTACCATTAATTTGAGCAGGTAAATGAGATAGTTTGCCAATGGAATGAATGTTTTTACTCTTAAAAGATAATAATATGTACTCGGAATGAGACAATGCAATTGTGTTTTCTTATTTTAAATGTAAATTGTCTTGTTCCATTGGCAAAATGCCTCTTTTACCTCCTCAATCCAAGAACAATTGCACTTATTTTAAGAAAAAAAGGACTTATCTAGAATTCAATTTTTTCCAGTGTATTAGCCGACCATCTGTTGGAGGAATATCACCTCTAAAGCATTCACAGAGCCAATACAGCACAACCCTTGCATATTTAGTCATGCTCTTTTTTTAAATTTTAGGTCCAGACAGAAATCTAGAAATTCCAGGATTTATGGACCCTCTTATCACACACAGCTAAAACAGAGAGGTAAAATGATCATATTTGAGCTTTTAGATGAAATAAACTTCACCTCAGCATAACAGCCAGATGTGTTCTCCTTTACAGATGATGTGAGGGAGCATAACGGGATAAAAACTGTAACTTCCCTTTATGTTCTCCAGCAAAAGGTACGACTGTCTCATTCTGTTTTCATTCATGACTTTAAACATTAAATCTATAACCATTCAGGTTCTCTTAATGCTAAAATCTCTGATTTTGATGCAGCAAATACATATTTTATTATGAGAATGCTCAGTGGTGCAGTGGGTTGCACTGCTGCGTTGCAGCAATATGGTTGCAGGTTAAATTCCCGGCCTGTGGTCTCTCTGCATGGAGTTTGCATGTTCTCCCTGAGCATGCGTGGGTTCTCTCTGGGTACTCCGGCTTCGTCTCACAGTCCAAAAACATGACTAGGCTTCTTTAAATTCTCCTTAGGTGTGAGTATGTGTATGAATGAATGGTTTTTTGTCCTGTTTGTCTCTGTGTTGCCCTGGGATGGACTGGAGACCTGTCCACGGTGGACCCCGTCCCTCACCTGTAAACAGCTGGAGATAGGCACCACCACCCCTCGTGACCCCAGCAGGCATAAAGCGTGATGGAAAATGGATGGATTAAGGGGTGTTTCTGTAATGTAGTAGTCATCACCTTTGCCTACATGCAAAAAGTCCCCTTGTTCGAAACCTGGCAGAAACAGTCTTCTGGACATCCAGTGGACAAGATTTGTAAGCGTAAGGAATCCCACCAGGTGTGTCATCGAGCACCAACAGGTTCAACGTTTGATGAATAGAATATTGAGTAGAAAATATTCACTATTCATGCTTATCAAAATAAAAATTATATTTTGAAATAAAACAAATGAATGAATAAGTTCCGATTAAATAAGTTAATATGAAACCCATTAATTAAAATATGATTTTATTAAATCCTTTATAATGTATTTCATATTTTGTATAGATTTTAATTAAACATGGGACTGAAAGCATAATCCATCCTTTTTCTGTCACGCTTATCCCAAGCAGGGTCACGAGGGCTGCTGGTGCCTATCCCCAGCTGTCTATGGGAGAGAGGCGGGGTCCACCCTGGACAGGTCTCCAGTCCATCACAGGACAACACAGAGACTAACAACCATTCACACACACACTCACACCTAAGGAGAATTTAGAGAAGCCAATTACCTAACAGTCATGTTTTTAGACTGTGGGAGGAAGCCGGAGTACCCGGAGAGAACCCATGCATGCTCAGGGAGAACATGCAAACTCCGTGCAGAAAGACCCAATGCAAACAATAAAATATTAAATAAACAACAAAAATCTAAATTTAAATGAAAGATTATGACAAACTTAGACAATAATGAAAACAGGTAATTAAAAAGTGAAGGATGTTATCTTTGTTCGTTTATAAACCAAAGGTCCTGGGTTTGAATCCCGCTCCTGGCTCTTTCTGCATGAGTTTGGATGTTCTCCCCATGCATGCATGGTGTTCCTTCTTATACTTCAGCTTCGTTTAGCAGTAAAAAACAAACTGTTAGCTTAAATGGTTTCTCTAAATTGTCCTAAGCTATGGGAGCATGTGTGTATGAATTGTATCTGTGATGCACCTGTAAACTTTCCTGCTGTCATTCATTGAGAGATGAATGACAGCAGGAAATGGGCGCCAGTCCCCTGTGACTGTTAACAAATGGGTTATAATTGAGAGATTGAGTAAAATAGTTATTATGCAATACACACAGCCAAAAATGAGAATCTAAAGAAGTACATTTTACTTAAAATAGGGGAATTTTTTCTTGAGTTTGAGGTTAAGTGTGACATTTTGCCAACGGAACTAGACAATTAACATATACAAAAATACTCATTCTATTGGCAAATAATCATATTAAGGCAAGGCAAGGCAAGGCAAATTTATTTGTATAGCACAATTCAGTACAAAGACAATGTAAAGTGCTTTACATGATTAAAATACAGGAAGATAAAACAGAATCAAAGCAAGTAGGAAAAAAATAAAAACATAAATAAATAAAATAAAATAAAAAATGCAGAAAAAAATAAAAGTTTTTAAAAAACAGTTGGATTAAGGAGTAAAGACAATTAATTTAAGACATTTTTAGTTTTTTCTAGATTGCATTTGCAGTGCATGATTTCTTTTTTATTTTTTTTATTACAACTGTCACTTTTAGGCCTAATGGGGCTCATGTTAGTTATTCATATTCAACCTTCGCTGCACAATAAACATTTTATCTTTCCTTATCTTTTTGTATCTGTGTCCAAACCCTCTCATCTCTAACCTCATTTGCAAAATAACTCCTTCCTGTTTCTAAGCCCCTATTCTGGGGAATATCTTCAGCTCTTCAATCTGTGAATTCAAATGTAAAGCTGTTGGACTTTTTAATTAATACATATATTTTTAATTTACCTCTCTCTTTTCATATAAGAGAGAGTTTAGATGACTTTAATCTCTAACCTCTTGTTTTGTAGGATCCCCCCATGGACGACGACTCTAGCAACAGTATTGGGTCTCTCTCTGAGCTGGACAACCCTCCTTCCTACACAACTTTCCCCAAGTACACAAATTCTCTGGTGCAGATATCCGATCCCTCTAGAGGCCCCTCCTTCCCAAAGACTATCTGAAGGTTCATGAACTGTTCACCATGCAGGGCAGATGAGCTGCTCATTTGATGTGTGTCTTCATGCAAAAGTGGCTTTAAGTCTTTATGAACTCAAATCTGAAGTTTAGGCATTTTTCCAGGATCTGGTTTCCATTGCCTTGCAGAAATATCTACATCCTGCAAGCTTTATTTCATTTTGCTCAGTAACGATTAAAAACAGGAGGATGTTTTATTGGGATTTTATGTGATAGAGTAACATCAAATATCAAAAATATAGAATCATGATAAAGTTGAAGTAATTCCAGCTGCAGGGCATCGCTTGTATGCAAAGATGGTAAAAGTACTCACTTTCCGTACTTGAGTAAAAGTACAGATACTTGTGTTAAAAAATACTCTGGTAAAAGTGGAAGTACTGATTAAACTTCTTTACTCAAGTAAAAGTAACAAAGTACAGGCTTGTAAATTTACTTAAAGTATAAAAGTAAAAGTAGAAACCACTTTTTTCATGGCGTTGCCTACATTTTAAATGGATGTCTGCCAATAGGACTAGATCTCCGTTGTGTTCATTTTCAATCATCTCGTCGTCCATGCTACTATGCTAACGCCACCGCCACCAAGCTGCAATGATTTGCCGCCAATGAATACCGCCGAATCTGTCGATTCATCTTGTAGTGGTGCGTCAAATGCAACGTAGATTCCCATCCAATTAGATTGAATTTGGTATTGATGACGTGAAAAATAATAACGGTAACTCCATTGAAATGATTCAAAACTAAAGTAACGAGCCAATTTTTTAAAATGTAAGGAGTAGAAAGTACAGATATTTGTGTAAAAATGTAAGGAGTAGAAGTAAAAAGTCGCCATAAAAATAAGTAGTAAAGTAAAGTAAAAACATCAGAAAAATCTAATTGAGTACAGTAACAAAGTATTTGTACTTCGTTACTTCCCATCTCTGGTTCCTGATTAAGCAAATCATTTAATAAAACATTATTTGGCCAAATGTTTTTATTCACCCTTCATGGATTTGCATTGTGAATTGGTCTGAAAACATTCCAATTCTAGCTAATTTTGATCAGATCCCAAATTCTTCCAGATAACTTTGGTTTCAAACACAACATCCATCTTAAACTGTAATATTGTTTTCAACCATGTTCCTCTTCTTCTTTTCACATAGTAGTTAGTTTAGTTGAGTTTCACTAGTTTTAGCTAAGAGTTTTTAACTGAAATATGATTGACTTGGAGCTGAATGATTTTGTTAATGAACTCTTGTATTTTGAATAGAAGTTGTGCACGGCAAAAATGATCTAGAAATAAGTAAACATTTCTTAAATTAAGTGTATTTACCCTTGATTTGAATAGGTAAATTTGATAATATGCCAATGGAATGAGTATTTTTACCCTTAAAATAAGATAATTAGATGAAATGCACTTGAAATAAGAAGATGCAGTTGGGTTTTCTTATTTTAAATCTAAATTGTCTTGTTCCATTAGCAAAATGCCTCTTTAATCTCCCCAATTTAAGAACAAATGCACTTATTTTAAGAACAAATGCACTTATCTAGATTTTGATTTTTTCCAGTTTGGTGAATTTATTCCATGTATGGACAGAATTGTCTGTTTGACCATGATTAGTGCTCGATTCACTCTTTCATTATTATTATCTATTGTTCTAACACACAGCTAGTAGGGCGTGTGTTCATAAACAGTATATGACAGTCCAAATAATATCTCCCCTACCGGGGAGGGAAATAAACATCTTAAACTATCAGAAGGTAATATGAATTCCCAGCTGGCTGGGAATTGAATATAACAGTTATTCACAACATTAAAATGGCGTCCAACCTGGATGGGCATTGATTATACAGTTATTCACAACACAGGCTAACAAAAGAAGTCAAACGACCCCCATTCCAAAAGGGTGGACCCGTTCGTCCGTTTGCATTAGTGTTAATTTTAGCAGCCATTTTTAAATTTAATTTTAGTTTTAGTCCAGTTTCAGCATCGCTTGTTAGTTTTTATCACATTTAGTCGACATCATCCCATTTTTATTTAGTCTAGTTTTAGTCGACTATAAGTTGAGCATTTTAGTCTTTATTTTAGTCTTAGTCAACAAAAACTGTCAACATTTTAGTCTAGTTTTAGTCAGGACATAATTTTAACCTTCCTGAGGCAGGAATCAAAATCCAACAGAAAACAACAAACGCACCAGAACCAAGGAGACATCAGGGGTAAACCAAAACTCTAGGAGCCAGGGAGAGACGAGAAAAGCAGACATACGTTAGACGATCCAGCAAACAGGAAATGAAGAGGGAGGGCTTTTAAAGGGGACAGAGACAAAGAGAGGGCTAACAAGGGTATTGAAAACAGGTGAGGGCAGAACAGAAAACAGAGCAAGGGAAAGAGGACACAAGAGGGCAGCAGAGGACAACAAATGGAAAACCAAGAAAAACAGGAACTAACAAACCAAGACTCTGACAATAATATTTAACATTTCCTAAAATTATTTCACATTTCAGCATTTTCTCATCTTTTTGATAAAAAAACACAATTTTAAGGAACACATGCAGACATGGAGATGTTGTGACAATATTTGCATATTTATTTTGAACGTTGTTTAGGTTCAAAGACACAAAAACAAATGCTTGCATTAAAACAAAAAATACACCTGACAAAGGACACAAATAAATAAAATAAAGTACACAAGTGCTGGCTGTTTAAAGCTAGTTCACATAGAATAATAAAATAAATAGATTTGAGGTCAATTCTGTGGAGAAAAAAAAACTCCAACTGATACAACAAAGTGCTTTCCTGCCAGCTAGTTCACATGGTATATAAAGGTACAGTATTTACGGTGAAACAAGGCATAGCTTGCTAGTCCTGAGAGTCAGCTTTGTATTTGGTGTGGGCAATTAAGGAAGCTTGTATAGCTGGCCTGTCATTGTTTCTGGGTGGTTGTTGGTGGGTGGTGTATCTTCGATCTGGAACAGAAATTAATACAATGTCAGGATAGATGCACAGCATAACAGGAATTCCAAGTGTATAAGTAGCATATAGGTCTGTTTTTTTCCTTAACAAAAACTAAGTCTCTGTAAAAACTACATTTGACAATCCATTTCAAACTCATACAAACAACCTAACTATCATTTTATGCAGGAATAAATTGCAGACATTTTTATATGTGCATGCATTTTGGTTGTGTTAATATTGATGCCAATTCATATCAAATGTCCTTGTAATAGTAATATGCAGATAAACCATAAAATAATTATATGTAATTTTCGTCTCGTCTTTGTTTGTGGACTAAAATGTCCATAGATTTTAGCCTTAGTCTTTATTTACCAAACTGCATTTTCGTCTCGTCTTTATTAGTCCACGAAAATTATTTCTGATTTACTCCCAGTTATTGTTTATTAGTGAAGATTTTCGTCTCGTCTCGTCTAGTTTTCATTCGGTGAAAAATGTGCGTTGATGAAAATATTTTCGTTTAGTTTTCGTCAACGAAATTAACACTAGTTTGCATGTTTTCTAAGCAAAAACAAGGCTTATTTGGGCTACTGTATAAAGCCTGTAACTCAATGCTATTCCTGACATTTAGAATTAGAAAAGCTTCCTGGATGGGAAGAGAAACGTCTTCAAACTTGGAAAAAATGTCCAGTGAATTGTGTTCTTTTTTAAACTTTTTTGGAATTCATTGAAAACCTGTAAATAATCCCAAATGTTTATAGAAAATGTAATGTTTTTTTCTCATCAAATATCAGAATTTTTTTTTTTTTTATCACTATTTGATTATCGAAATGTAATATCCTTTTGTTTAAATTTTGTAAACAAAAAAGGATATCTTATGGTTACCTTGTTAGTTGTAAAACCATTTTCAGTTCCTCTGCAGATACATGAAACGTGAGTCAGCTTTACATGTACTTTCATTCTAGAAATACTGATTCAGTGCCTACATTTTAGAATTACTTATCATAAAGATATCCAACACCAGATGTTATGAACGGATTTCTGTGCTGGGGAAACTTTAAACAGTAATATTTAATGCTTCATGTAGAAATATCTAGCAAAAACATAAAATAACAATTAGATTATTGAAAGAAAATTGTAAATCCATGTCCTGTTTTTGTCAGGATGAAGCATCATTCGATTTTGCTTTTATCTTCTAGTACATCTCCTTCTTTTTAAATCATCAGAATATAGGATTTAAGGCCGGATTAGTGTTTTATTTGCTTGCACCGGATGTTACGTACAGAAGGAGGTTGAGCACATGGAAGACTGTAATTAGACGGATACTTTATTTCTTTAATTACAGCATATTGCATCCTCTGTTTGGTTGTGACAGAGGGGATTACAGCAGGCCCAGAAGATACGCACATGCGCAGTGAGTACCCTACCTCCATCCTTTAACCCCCCCACCACCCCCAGCACATCATCCTCTCTGGTTGAGATGAGGACCTGCATCAAGCTGAGGCAGAACACACAGAGGAGACTTTGTTTACTCTTTCATAATAAAACATCTGAGTAAGTCCCAATAAATGTAATTACATTGATTTATTTCCGGCTTGTTCTACTATAAAGAACAAATATTTCTGCCGGAAATAATTAGGACGTTATTATCTATTGGACTATTAATAAAAAAATAGAAACCATCACGTTTTTTTTTTTTGTTTTTTTTTTGCACACTTGTAAATTTATACCGCTTTAATCATTTTTGTTGTTTCTGTTTATAGTTATCTTGTGCTGATTGGAATGTGTGAGCCATGGAAAACTGAAGCTTATGTTTATTTGAAAACAAACAAAAAGAAAAAACAAAAAAACTACAGAAAACAAATGGTTGTAAGTTAAATAATATTAATAAAATGCTTTTTGTGGTGAATCCATGAGGAATGCAATTTCTGAAACGATCTCAATTATTAATTTAAGTCGAAATTTAGAGCAATAGCTACTATAAAACAAAAAAATAAACATTTTTTTTCATAAAGTTGTGTCTCATTAGAAGTAATAAAAAATAGAAATCGTATTTTTGAAAACCAGCTTTCTTTGATTCGAATAATTTATTTTTAACATATTTATTATTCATAACAACATATTTATAACAACAATTTTTTTTTTTTTATGGGAAACTAAAAGTAAGCTTGTTACGACGGAGTATTAGGGCTAGAAATTTTTTTTCTTCTATTTTGAGAATAAAGTCGTATCATGAGAATAAAGTTGTAAAGTTACAACAATAAAGTCGTGAAAAATTACAAGAATAAAGTCTCAAGGAGAAAAGTCATAAAATTATTAGAATTATGTTTTAAAATTATGAGAATAAAGTCCTAAAATCAAGAGAATAAAGTCGTAAAATAACGAGAATAAAGTCTCAATGAGAATAGTCATAAAATTACAAGAATAAATTCGGAAAATTACAAGCACAAAGTCGTAAAATTACGCGAATTATGTTATTACGAGAATAAAGTCG